GCCAAACAGCTGGGCCCATTGTATGGTGAAGGGTTCGGCTTTTGCTGTGTACAGGGCTTTATAGCTCGGCGTTTGCGGGCGGGGTGTGCGCGCGAGAGAGGGCCAAATGGCCCTGGTGTCAAGGAGAGTGGAAACTATTCGACCATGTTAGAGCTTGAGGGGAGGGCGCCATGGAAATGGAGAGAGAACATTGACCCTACAGGAACTGGCAGTCCTCTCGCCCCCCCCTCCCCACCGCCCCCAAAGAGCAAACCCCATGTACAAAAAAGCTATTAGAGCAAAAACAACACAGCTTCTCCTCAGAGGCTGTAATTACAGAGCAGGCCAAGCTATTTTAGATTAGAGTTTTAAAAAATGCTGGTCCTTTAATTAAATGCCTCTTAAGTTAGGGAAACAAAAGGAGGAAATGTATCCATAGGGGCCACAACGTACTTGGACACAATCCAAAGGCAAGGGTAGGTGACACCTTTCTTAGACCACTAAAAATCACAAACAAATGCAAGTTTTCAGCCAATATATATTTTCATTGGGCAGGGAACTACCGTATTTTTCGTTCCATAAGACACACCTTTCCATAAGACACACCAATTTTTTAGGAGAAGAAAACAGGAAAATATAATCTGTTTTCTTCGGTCCATAAGACACACAGACTTTCCACACACACCCTGTTTTATGGGGGAAAAGTGCGTCTTATGGTGCGAAAAATACGGTACTTATTCGTGGGTGGCACCGAAACAATAGGAAAAAAAAAACAGAAGAGTTCTCAAATTCCTGGCTAGATGTCAATGAAAGCCTTCTTCACAAAAGTGAGACTCACTGTGTATGAACGCTGAGAAGAGGGAAAAAATGATTTGTTTCAAATGTGGTGCTGGAGGAGAGCTTTGTGGATGCCCTGGACTGCTAGACAGGTGAAGAAGTAGGTCCTAGAACAAATCAAGCCTGAACTATCTCTGGGGACAAAAAAAATTTGTTGAAACTGACCCTATCCTACTTTGAGCACATCATGAGTAGGCAGGATTCCCTGGAAAAGACCCTAATGCTGGGCAAGGTGGAAGGTAGCAGGAAAAGAGGAAGACCAAATACAAGATGGATTGACTGTCTGAAGGAGGAAGAGCAAATACAAGATGGATTGACTGAAGGAACCCACAGGCCTGGGTTTGCAAGAGCTGAGCAGAGCTGTTGAGGACAGAGCATGTTGAAGATTGCTCATTCATAGGGTCACCAAGAGTCAGAAGACAGCTTGGCAGCACATAATAAACAACAACAACAAAAGGAGGAATGGGAAGTCAAGAGTGTTGGTTTTAAATGCCATGGGCCAGTCCTCATCTACTATAAGTAGAAGGAGCTCTGTAAGTTCCCATCATCTGCTAACTTGCTGGAAGTGCCTGCGATAGTCCTGGAAATAATACGAAGTTTTGTATTATGAAACTTAAGGTCCTTCTCAACCACAGGAAATAGTGGGAGAAGATCGACCCGTGACCCACTTCTTGGAGTGCAGGCTTTTCTTGATCTGCGTCACCTAGAGCAGTGGTCCTCAACCTTGGGCCTCCAGATGTTTTTAGACTACAACTCCCAGAAGCCTTCACCACCACCTCTGCTGGCCTGGATTTCTGGGAGTTGAAGTCCAAGAACATCTGGAGGTCCAAGGTTGGGGACCATTGACCTAGAGCCCTGGTTCTTAACCTTGGGTTACTCAGGTGTTTTTGGACTGCAACTCCCAGAAGCCTTCACAGCTAGCTGTGCTGGCTGGGGTTTCTAGGAGTTGCAGTTCAAAAACACCTGAGTAACAAAGGTTAAGAACCACTGACCTAGAGAATACCCTCAGCTGATGATTCAGGAGGCCCTCGAAGTACTTCCTGACAACTTTCTGAATGGTTATGCAGAGCTCACTGGGAATTTTCCTCCAAGGACCTCACAGAAAGGTTGCTCTTGAGAAGAGAGAACAGTTCCAGCAGGGGGCCTTCCTGCACCACCAAAACCATTCATTCGGGCTGGTAGAATAGGGCAGAGAGAGAGATAGAGAGAGACTTTACGATATGAAAAGAGATAGATGGCAGGTGTGAGCAGCACTGTGTCAAAACCGTGATCCTGTTGGAGCTCATCTAACTGGTACACAATGAATCTCTGACTGCTTTGCTGAACAACAAGAAGAACAATGAGCAAGTTTCTAGTCCCTAGGGCAAAAAAGGTTCAATTTAACCTATGTAGACATAGACTGGTGAAGCCAGAAGAGGTCGGACCTAATCAGTAAGGAAATGAGGCTTTTGTGCTTGTGTTTTCTCCTCCATCTTTACAAGTCTGTGTTTCCCACAACACTTCAATGGAGGAGTTGGTTTGCCTTAAATTCTCTGGTTGATTGAATCCATATCCACTTTGCCATGCATAGAATGCCACCCCAGTATATCCTTTTGTTTCCTGGCTATAGAACAGGAATGGGGAAACTCTGACATTCTTGGCTTTTTTATATCAACTCCCATAATCCCCTATCATGGGCCATCTTGGCTGAGGCTTCTGGGACTTGAAGTCGAAAAAAAATTGCATGCCAAATATCCCCAAGCTCATTATAGCACTTGTTATCAAGGGTGACAGTCTCCCACTTTCCCTCCTCCATTTCACCTGATTTCTCATACATACTGGACATTTATGTTCTGGTTTAGCAAAACCAACCTCTCAATTTCCTTCCATGATGGCTTGGGTGGGGGAGCTTTCTTGCATTAATGTAGAAAATTGCTGCCCCAGATCACAGGGGCCTGATAGTTGAAGATACCTCTTTGGTTCAGATGTAGCCATTTCAGATTGGGAACCCATCAGGTGCAGGATTACAGCTCCCCTCTTCATGGATGACTGGTGTGCTAGTGATTGCAAGTGGGAGTTGTAGTCTAAAAATATCTGGAGGTGCTATTTAGGAGGTGTCAGACGGAGGGGCTTACAGAAGGTATTGTGCTATTGCCATGGGAGAATTCTGAGTCCCAGGTTCAGATTTGCACTCAGTTGTGAAGTTGTCCATCCTAGCTGGGGTAGTGTAGAAGATGAAGTCCAGAACATCTGATGATGCCAGGTTGGGTGGAGCTGATACAGATACACTTAGAGATATAATTAGTTGGTTTCACCCTCACCATGGCAACATTTCACCTAGTAAACAGATGCCTTAATTTACTCCTGCCCCCATAGCAATTTTTCTACCTTCGTTTTCTGCTGTTGGCACGACAGTAGGAGAAACCCTGCTATACAGCTCAGTGGTTTAGGGACCTTGCTGTGGAGCCAGAGGTTGGGAGTTTCGTTTCCGCACTGTACCTCTTTGACAGGGGCTGGACTTGATGATCTATTGGGTCCCTTCCAGCTCTGCAGTTCTCACATTATATCTCAGTAGAATTTCTGATGAATTCTAAGGCAAGTAGGGAACGTTTGGGTTCAGCTAGACTAGCAGCAGGGAGCGAACGACTGTGTGCCACTGGGAAAAAGTTTGGGTTCAGCTAGACTAGCAGCAGGGATCGAACGAGTTGGCCTTGATTTGAATGATCTAATCAAGCTTGACCCTTGGGCTTGATTAGAATGATCTAATCAAGCTTGACCGTTCATATGAAAATAGCTCCTGCCAATATTGTGAAGTAGCTCAATAAGCAAGCCACTTCAGGATATTCACAAATGAATCATTTCCTCTGCTTGACAGAGGGCAGGGGAAGTGGGGAGGGATGGTTTTTGGACTGTATATGTACTACTGCTGATGAAATGCAGCAGTTATAAAAGAAAACCTTTGAAATATTTTCTTTGCCTTCTCTTAATGGATGAGAAACTGCCCAACACTAAACCACTGTGGATTTGACTCCGAGCAATTTCTCCTTTAGGCGAGGCAAAGGAATGAGTAGGGTCCACCACAGGTTTGTTGAGCCAAATGGTGGATGACTCAGTGGGTTGGTTGGGAGTTCGATTCCCCCGCTGTGCCTCCCGGCTGGACTCCGTGATCCACCAGGTCCCTTCCAGCCCTGCAGTTCTAAGATTACTATTAGAGTCTATGCATTGTAAATACCGGCAGTTGTTCACAACCTGAAGCATCTGGGCTATATCTCTTTGTCTCGGATGCAACTCAAGTTGGCCTCTCCATGCATAAAGGGGATTTTTGCTATCTCGAGCAACAAACCATTCTAGGCTGGCTGTTCAAAATGCTTGTGAACGGGGCGCCCCACTTCCCCTTCTGCTTACATGTCAGATTCATGAGGAGGGAAGAAACCCCCCTACCCCCACCCCCAGGGCTTCTGCCAGCACAGATCCACATGCTGTGGAAAAACTCCGGAGTGCCACGGAAAGGGAAGCCCCACGCGCCTTGCATGCCATTTTTCCAGAGGGCATTTGAAAATCTGACTTGGTCCTTCCTCACTCGTCATTGCCATAGGGATGGGTGGTTGGTGGTGATGGTGAGGATCATCATCCTCTCTCTCCCCCCTCCCTCCTTTTAAATGGCATGCCCACTCCACAGCGAAGTTGGTAGCTGTGCCAGCTAAGCGGCTCCGTTTCTATTGGTTGGCGGCGGGGCTCGGTGGATGTGCGTCCGTGTGTGTGTGTGTGTGCGCGCGCGCCTGTCAGCGGCGGTGATGTATCTGCGGAGACAAGAGGAGAGAAAGGGAGCGAGCGGGAGAGGGCGAGGAAGGAAGGGAGGGCTGGGGGACCCGATGCCGTCCTTAGGTTAGATCGCAGAAACCAGGGGCCTGATGATCTCCTGGACCGGGTCAGGATCTGAGCGGCCGCAGGCGGAGAAAAGGGCCGCTGGTGCTTTGATATTCGACTCACGCGAATAGAAATGTGCTTTTGATAGAGATCGACAGATAGATTTCAAGGGTGGCTGCTATATTGTGTATTCATTCATTCATTTTTTTAAAAAGACACTTAGCAAACCTGGGCTGGTGGAGATAAGGATCTCCAGGGGAGGTGCGTCTTGGAAGCGGCGCAGCTTTGAGGCCATTTCCCCACCCCCACCCCCGTGGTGGATGTATTGTGTATTCATTCATTCATTTTTTTAAAAAGACACTTAGCAAACCTGGGCTGGTGGAGATAAGGATCTCCAGGGGAGGTGCGTCTTGGAAGCGACGCAGCTTTGAGGCCATCCCCCCTCCCCGTGGTGGATAGGGCCAGGCGGCGGCGCGGCGGCGGATGGTATCCGGAGGACCGCAGGCTCGAACTAACGTTGCCTCGGAGCTGGGCGCAGGGATGAACCGGGACACGAGGCGCCGGCCGCGGGATTAGATCGCGGCGGCGGCGGCGGCGCGCGGAAGGGGGGGCGCAGGGTGCGTGCCTGCGTGTGTGTGTGTGTGTGCCGTGGGAAAGCGGAGGCTCCGCGTTGCGGGTTTGCACGCGGCGAGACGACGAGGAAGTGGAGGCGACGGGAGGCGACCAGCGAGCCCGGGCCGGCGGAGGAAAGGTGGAGAAGGCGGCGGAGGATGGGCTGGCGCCTGGGTATTGGGGGGGCCGGCGCCCCCCTCCTGTTGCTGCTGCTCCTGGCCGGGCAGGGCGCCGGCCGAAAGCCCCCCAAGAGGAAGTGCCCCCTCGGCTGCACCTGCACCAAGGACACGGCGCTCTGCGAGAAGGTCAAGGAGATCCCCCGGGACCTGCCCCAAAACCTCCACTCCTTGTAAGCCCGGCTCTCCCTCTGCTTCCCCCCCCCTTTCCCCAGGTTTTTTCTTTGGGGGGGGGAAGGCGGAGGATCGGGGCCGGGGGCACCTGCCCTCTCCAGGCCAGCCCTTCCTCTCCCCCCCCCCCCCCCCGCCGTGTGTGTGGAGGCGGCGGCCAGGAAAGGGCTAAGGGGTCCCCCCTCCCCGCGCGCGGGGGGGTTGGGGAAAAAAGACCCCGGACTCAGAGCATGCTTGGTCTAAGAGGACTGTGGTTTATTCATAAAGACGGTCCTTAGATGGGGGGGCTGGGGGCCAATGCTTTGGGTGCGGTGGGGGAAGGCAGGGATGGCATTTACAGCCCCCCAGGTGCCTGCCCCTCTTTTACCAAAATCAGGCCCCTCCCCAGATGCCTTCCGAAGGCACTGCTTGGAAGGGCTGACCTGAGAGGGCTGGGGGCAACGTCCCTCTGCAGGTCCCCCCCTCCCTATTATCTAAGGTAAACCTGGTGCCACTCAGCGAGGGAGGGAGGGAGGGTTCTTGGCCCAAGAGAACAGGCAGATGATTTACTGGGTCGTCCTGATGGCCCTACAAGTCCTGACAGTAGCTGGGTTTCCATGGTTAGCTAAGAATGGGGCATCAGAGCCAGCTGCAAGGAATGGGGGTGCTTGATCTCCCCATCGGTGATGTGCTGATGGGTTGGCCAGCGTGTCTGTGGCACTAAGAACATGCATGAAATCCTGGAGGGTTCCCCCTTGTCCAGGTGCCTCCCCAGCCGTCTTAGAGGCAATCCAGAATCTCCCCAGCTCCACAAACTGCCTGTGCTTTCTCTCCTGGAGTGGCTTTCTTCCACAGAGGGACCCTTCCGTGCCACAAGATGCTGTGCACTTCAATGCCCATCATCCACAGAAAGCCATAGCTGTATGTGTGGTGTGTGGTGTGACTTGTACAGCAACACATCTAGAAGGCATTGGGTTATGCAGAGACTGCTCTAGAGCAGGGATCTGGCCCTCTGGATGGGGACGAGAAAGGACTATTCCCACCATTATTTATCAGGTGGGCTGGCAAGAACTGGTTTCTCACCCTTCCTCACCATTTGAAGTGAGTGCTCCAAGGCGATGCAAGTGTTTTAAAACCGGAGAGATCGAACGGCTATGGACTATCCTGCTGGCAGGGCTGGAGAGGCTACCTGTGACCGTGCCCAGGATTCCCACAAGTGGCCTGGACGTTGCATAGAGGCAAAAGTGAAGCTGCTTGGAGGTGTAGCCCTTCCAAAGGGAAACTCGTGGTTTTAAAAGCAAGAAAGCTGTAGCCTACAGAGATACCGTAGCTGAAATGACCACCCTGGAAGCTGCATGGGCAAAACAAAACAAACACATGGAGGCGGATTTAGTCACAGTGACTGCTTTTTGTGCAGCAGTGAAAGTGTGGGAAGAAACATTAGGAGGGCCTAAAATCTCCAGCTAATTTGTTGGCTTTTTTTGCAGTGTGGTTTATCAGCCCTTCTCTCAGGGGGCGCTGAGGTCCTGATGGGGCGGGTGGTGCCATTTTTGCTGCTGGTGCCAATGCTCCAGCAGCTGGCACCTTCTGCCAAGTCATTCAGCTGCTGCTCTTCCCTACTCTCCCCCCTCTCTCCCCTCCCCACCCCATTTCTCTCTTGCAGGTCTCTCATCCGCTCAGGATTTACTGAGATCTTAGAAGGCAGCTTTCAACAGGTGCCGTCTCTTCAGCTGCTGTAAGGAACTTGATGCATCCCTTGTGTTGTGAGTGGTGTGTGTGTCAAACCGTACGTATGGCTATCCCTCCTTCAGGGCATCTGTGATATGTGGGGTGTCCGTCTTTCTCTTTGCCACCCTCTTACTGTCTCCAGTATGTGACCTGTGAGTTGGAATCCTTTTCTATTCACATTAGAAACTAAGAAGTGTGGACATTTGACTATGGTCTTTAGAGCAGTGGTCCCCAACCTTGGGCTTCCAGATGTTCTTGGACTTCAACTCCCAGAAATCCTGGCCAGCAGAGGGGGTGGTGAAGGCTTCTGGGAATTGTTGACTTTCCTCTCAGCCACAGGAGCCCTAAGATCTGAATGCCAGGGTAACGACTCCTTATCACCCACAACTATTTGCCCAACAGCATGGACAACAAACCTTAAACGTTTCAATGCCTTCGGTCAGGAGCAATTGGTGCCTTGTGCTTCTGAGAGCCAACCTTTCAGGAGGATCTGCTATGCTTCATGGAGGATCTAGCAGTGATGTTCTTCTTCACAGTTCTGCTAACCTGGCCTCTTAAGAACAGTCCCAAAGTGCAAGCAGCTTGTATTGATCCATATCCTGAAAATGGTCAGAGAGGTTTTCATTTCCACTGGAAGCAAGTCTTTTGTAAAGCTAATGGACCTTAATTGCCATTTCAAGACCAAAAGCACCTTGAAATACTCTGCATTATAGCAGGGATCATTCCCAACTGTATCACATTGCAGGGAAAATCTGTCGTCCCCCCCTTATTCCTTTTTATTTTTATTTACCTTTATTGCTATATGATTGTTTTTGCTTTATTTGTTTATTTGTTCATTAAAGAGCAGTGCCTTGTTCCAATCGGGTGGTATTAAAATAGAATAGATAAAATACAATAAAATAAATATTGTGAGAATTGCAGCTAAACTACAAGAGTACAGAAAGCCTGTGTGGAATGGCAAATAACCTCCACATCTCTGCTGCTATAAAAGCCCTGGAGCATGGCTCCAGCAAGCAGAGGCTCCCCTTACAACACTGGATCTAATCCTTTGGGATGTTGGTTACACTTTTTCTGTCTTTCACCCAGAACATAGTTGTCTTTCCTTCCTGGTTCCCACAATCTGACCTGTTTGCTTCTCTTACCCACTCCCTATTCTAGCTTGATCACATACAGCTCCCTGGAACTGATCGGGGACGACGCCTTTGTTGGACTTATACACCTGGAATACCTGTGAGTGTGTAAGAGTGGTGGCTTCTGGGAGTTTTGCGGGGGGAGAGAAGCATGAACGCTTGGGATGGTGTGGTGCTGTGGGTTGCGAGGTGGCATAATAAGCTTGTGAAGGCTATGGGGGAAGAATGGGAAAGTGGATCTTGTAAAGGTAGTGGGTTTTGTAAGATGTAAGATTATGGTGAATATAAGCAGTTCGGGACCTCAGTACATGGCCAAATGCCCACTTCCAGCAGGGACTTTCACTCCACAGGAGGCCTGGAAAGAGGAAGCAAGGAATCAGGCCTTCTGTAAGATGTAAGATTATGGTGAATATAAGCGGTTCGGGACCTCAGTACAGTACATGGCCAAATGCCCACTTCCAGCAGGGACTTTCACTCCAAAGGAGGCCTGGAAAGAGGAAGCAAGGAATCAGGCCTTCTCGGCGGTCGCTCCTTGGCTCTGGAATGACCTGCCATTTGAACTTCGCCTGGCGCCCCCTCTAGTGACTTTTAGGACACTTCACTCCAAAGGAGGCCTGGAAAGAGGAAGCAAGGAATCAGGCCTTCTTGGAGGTCGCTCCTTGCCTCTGGAATGACCTGCCATCTGAACTTCGCCTGCCTCCCCTCTCTAGTGACTTTTAGGACATCCTTGGAAACCTTCTGATTTCATCAGGCTTTTCAGAACAGTCTATCTGAATAGCCACCAAGAGTATCAACCTTTTAATTTTCATTACTGCCCGGCTTTTAAATGCAATGCCAATTTAATTTTAACTTCACTTTCAATTATGTTTATGTTATTTTATGTTATTCTCATCACTGTTGTGAACTGAAAGTGAATTGAAAACAGACAGACAGACAGACAGACAGACAGACAGACAGACAGACAGACAGACAGACAGATGAAGCTATGTGGGAATGGCAGAGCTTGGAAAATACAGTTGTAGATAGATAGATAGATAGATAGATGGATGGATGGATGAAGCTGTGTGGGAACGGCAGAGCTTGGAAAATATAGTTGTGGCCTATAGAAAGTCAATTTTCCAGACCCTGAGGAATCATTATAAGATTGACATCAGGGCATGAATGTTGATTAGAAAGAGGGCAGACAGTCAAGTAATTAAAAAAAATGACAGACAGACAGACAGACAGACAGACAGACAGACAGACAGACAGACAGACAGACAGACAGACAGACAGACAGACAGACAGACAGACAGACAGACAGACAGACAGATGAAGCTATGTGGGAATGGCAGAGCTTGGAAAATACAGTTGTGGCCTATAGAAAGTCAATTTTCCAGACCCTGAGGAATCATTATAAGATTGCCTGACATCAGGGCATGAATGTTGATTAGAAAGAGGGCAGACAGTCAAGTAATTAAAAAGAAAAAGCTCAAGTAGGTTAACCTTTTGGTTTTTAGTCATTTAACGAATCTCAATTTCACTTTAAATACATCTCTAAGCATATTCAAATAAGCAAAAGTATCATGTAGGTCCCGCCTGGTTGTGGTCAGATTTTGAATGAACGACTGTTGGAGAAAGTCTTCTTTGCAGTTTGCAATCTTTGTGGAGCAGTTCAGATATCATAACAAACTATGGTTGGGCTGCAAATCAGAGATGGTTAACTTCTGGTCCCTTGGATATTGCTGAACTGAGCACAGACAGTGACTGAGAACTGAGGGGAGCTGGAATGCCAACAATACCTGGAGAGGTACAAGTTGGCCATCTCTTCTCTCCATGAAGAAGAAACCATCTTGAACACTCATTTTCTTTGTTTGTGAATACACATCCCTATGCTTGCTAGGGTTGTGATGTAACAGCAACCCATGGTTTTCTAGGGCAGTGTAGTAGCTATGTGACCTGGGGATGGTGGTGATTTCAGTCCAGCACATCTGGAGGGCATCCCACTGACATTTCCAGTTGTATACTCGCTTATAGAGGAGAGTTCCACTGAACTCAATGGAATATTTTCAGATTGCAGTGTAAGAAAGGCATGCAACTTCAGACTAGCTTCAGAGTTTAGCAGAAAGGGAGTTTTTAATCAGAGCTTGGAAATATTACCCCCACACACACACACATACTTTTTAAAATTAAAACTCCCGCAATTCTCCATTCTGAGCTGTAGCCAAAAATGCAACATTTTTCCAAGGTGTTTTTAATTTCATCACACTGTGATCCTGGCAAAGCAATTTTCTAAGAAGTGGTAACACATTTCAGCCATAGGGAATCTAAAGGCCAAAATCCTACTGTGAAAAATACATCCATGTTAAGGCAGTCATGCAGTGGTTTTTCCTTTGCTTCTTGTCTTCTGTCATGCAACTCCTTCCCTAACCAGAGGAAGCTGAGGACAGCAATAGCTATGCCTTTGCTTGTAGGATCACTTACTTTTACTGCTTGGTTTCTGGCTTAAATGGTAGAAGGCTCATTTTCTCTCTCCTTGATTACCTAGAAAATGCAGTTCTGTGAAATCCTCCCTAAAATCTCCAGGATTCTTTGAATGAGCTCATGACGATTAACCCAATACTGTATACAACTGTTTCCAGGGCTAAAACAGATGTGAGAACAGTCATTCACTCAGGAATTGTATGGGATGTTTTTAAGCATAAAGAGGTAATGCAGCACCCTTAGTATGGCTTACCTTGATGGAGAAAATTGTATGGGATGTTTTTAAGCATAAAGAGGTAATGCAGCACTCTTAGTATGGGTTACCTTGATGGAGAAATGAAAGGGGACTTGAATTGTTTGCAGTTCTAAACAAAGTCTGAATGCCTCTACAATACCATGTTTTTGCTATAGTTCAAGGCAAATTCCGGGGGGGCAATGTGTAGCCTGCATAATTAAATTGTAAACCGCCCAGAGAGTGCTTGAAGCGCTATGGGGCGGTATATAAACAGCACACTATGTTTTTTGCTTTTGCTTTTAATTATTTGCAGTTCTAAACAGTCTGAATGACTCTACAATACCATGTTTTTGCTATAGTTCAAGGCAAATTCCCGTACATGTGGTAGAAATGTTCCATCCAAATCTGACAGCAGAAATGGGGGTGGGGTGGGGGGACAGGAGGTCTGCAGTAGGATCATGCACAGGGCAAAAGTTTAAAATCTTTCTTGGAGAGTCCCATTCAGATATGGACCAGGGAAAGCTGTCCCATCAGTTATTTACTTAATGAAATGATGACTTATTCATAAGTTTGTGAATGGCTTCACATCTAGTTTGATACTCCATTTGTAAGATAAATCAGCCATATAGGGGAAGACCTCCAGTTGAAGAGTGTGGGAGAAATGGGACAGAGTATGGAGCCACTAGCACTTCAGCCAAGGGGGGGGGGGTCACCAGAGGTAGACCCAGCCACATCTAATTTGCCAATCATTCTATCCCTTTGCCAAATCTATATACGTACATCTAGCATCCCTTTGCTCAGTGAGAGTGTTGGATTAAGTAGACAGCACCCATCTACCCAAACGATACTATTGTCTATGACTACTAGAGAACAGAGGCTAATTAGTCTAGAACTGAGGGTGGAAAGCCCTTTGATCTTGAGATTTATGTATTTTATTTATTTAAAATATTTTTACCCCACTATTCTCCTTAAAAAAGGATCCAAGGCAATTCAAATCTTTAAAAGACAATATTGAAAGCTAACGCCAGTGGGTGTTACAAAGGCTAAAAAGGATAAAATGAATACCATTCTTAAAAAAACACAAGCAATACTAAAACACATTCAAAGCAGTAAGGTTCATCCATTAAAAAAATCTTCTAGGGCAGCCAGTCATTCAGGGAAAGTTGGCCTGAACAGAACAGTCTTTGCCTGCTTGCAGAAGAACTGTCAAGATGGGGCCAGCCTAGCCTCCAGTGGAAGTGAGTTCCAAAGTCTGGGGCCAGCAACTGGGAAGGCCCTTTCCTGTGTCCCCACCAAATGCACCTGTGAAGGTGGTGGAACTGAGAGAAAGGCCTCTCCTGATGATCTTAATAGATGACCAGGCTCATAAAGAGAGATGCGATCCTTGATATGTTTTTGGATTAAAACTCCCACCCTAACCCTACCCTCACTAACCATGCCGGTGGGGTCAACAGGAGTTGCCCGTTGAAACATCCAAGGGTTTGATATCCCTCCGTCCAGCATTAGGTGCACATGCCAGTTTCAGGAGCCTCCACCGTGGGCTTTAGTCGGCTCTGTACAAGAGCTGTGCAAAGCGCTGGACCCGATCCCGGAATCCGTTCAATACTTTAGACAACTGCTGTCTAGTGCAGAGCACTCTGGACAGTGCAACTGACAATCAGCAACCGCTACCCCACCTTGGATTTTGTTATTCCGAGCAGCCAAAGCTTAGTTTCTGCATCAGCTGTCAGAAAAATGTCAGCAAGGCTATTAACACATCACGCTGTGCTGCCAAGCCAAGACAGCGGCATGTTAAAAAAGCAGGGGTGTCCTGAATAAAAGAGATGAATGCCACAGCTGGGGAAGAATCTTTTCGGATGGAGTAATAGGATGATATGATGAAGCTCTCCATAACTGAAGGATAGTAGGATGATGCCTTGGGTCTGGGCTTCAGTAGATCATTAGATGCATTCAGATCCAGTGTCCCTTCCCAGATACTACCGAGATACGCCCATATCAACAAGCATGTCTGCCTGTTCTCTCTAAGGCCAAGCTGGCTGTAAAATGAAATGGATGAATAATTTAGCATGCTGATGGTTATTATTTAAATAGCTACTGTAAGGACAATCAAGAAATCAGGGGTGTGTTGAGTAAGAGACAATGATGTATCTCCCCATTTAAAGAAAACAGGAAGCAAAACTTAACACCCTATGGCTAATATTAGCAGCTTAAGGAAGGACTGTATTTTGTTGTTATTGCACTGCAGATGGGAAGGACAGGTTTATTATTTATCTGTAAGTTACATTTATATCTAGCTTACCTTAAGCCAGCATCTGTGCCTGTCCTCTCTATTTGGGTTGTCCAACAAAACCAAAATCAAAGTCTGCTGCTTATATACGGCCCCAGAGCACATAAAGCTCTCTGTAGGTGGCTTACAATTTAATTATGCAGGCTGTATATTGCCTCCATTCCCAGTGAGTTGGGTACGCAATTTACCAACTTTAGAAGGATGGAAGGCTGAGTCAACCTTGAACTGGCTAGCTGAGCCTGTTCAGCATCAAACTTAGGTCATGAGCAGAGTCTTTGCTGCAGTTCTGCAATTTAACCTCTGCGACATGAGGCTCTCAACCATCTTCAGGTCTACAGAGTGACCATCCCTAAGTCATCCAATGGGTTTCCTGCATCACCAGGGACTAGAGCCTATCTCTCCCACACCCTAGTCTAAAACGCCATACTGAGTAACTCTCTTCCCCTTCCATGCAGAATAATTTTGATCCTTATTGTCCACAATGAACTGGATGCTTTAAAATAGCAAAAAAATCACTTTAAATATGTGTATGCATGCTGTCTAGTCTTGCTCACAGCATGCTGTTACCTCCCAAATCTATTAATCAAATTTAAAACCATTCATAACCGCTATTAAGCAAAATTAATGCCTGGGCAGCACCAAGTCATTTCAGAAATATATACAGTAATAAAGTATGTTACTAATGTCATCAGAGGTAAATTATTTCTCTCTCTCTCTCCCTCTCCCTCTCCCTCTCTCTCTCACACACACACATATACGTGCGCGCACGCACGCACACACACACACACACACACAACACACACACACACACACACACATACACGCGTGTGCGCGTTCACACACACACACACACACACATTTAAGATCCTGTGTGTACGTGGATGTGTTTTTAAATTAATATTTAAACATACTCTCTTCTGTCATTTGTAGAGCTAAAAAAATTACAGTCTTCTTAGAGTTTAAAAGAGCAAGGCAGAATAATTCTCAAGAAGCTCCACTTTTAACAGTTCCATTCAAACCTTTCTGAAGGGTTGTCATCTAAGTACATGTATTTTGACTTGGTGTCCTCTGGGTCTTTACGGAGTGATTTTTTTAAAAAATGGCATTCATTATGAGGCTTGGTTAAGAGGCTTGGGACAAAGTACTGGGACAAATCTTTTGTTTTGCCATTTCTTTTTATTTATTTCAAAAGTGCATATTCCAACTTGCATATGGTTCGGTTTCAACTTATGTCCTGCTTTTTTCCTGGTTTCCTGGACCAAATCTCTCTCCCCCCCCCCCAATTTGACTATAGGTTTCAGGAAGGCTAGGGAGAAACACTTGCTTTATGTTCATCTCATCTGCTGGTGAGCCCTTGTGGGTTTATTTTTCCATTATGATGACCAGGGGCAACATTAGCTGCCCTCAGACCTGGCCCTATCCTTAGGCAGAGTGGAACAGCTGCTTCAGGTGATAGATACTGAGGGAGGATCAACAGGCTTTCTGAGTGAGACCTAGACATCATCTATACTTGGAGGTCCTTCGTCCCTTTATCTGTTCTCTCACCCTCAGATCCAGCTCTTCCTTTGGGGTGATGGGTTTTTACTTGGGACTAGGCTTTCTGGGGGTACTCTGAGGATGAGGGACAGCACCTCCTTCTGCTGAAGATCAGATTTGTCACTGAACAGAAGCCAACATTTGAGGGGGGGCGCCTCAAGTTTGAGGCCAGGGGTAAATGGTTTTCCTGGTCCCCTCTCGTAAAAGGGTGTTGAGGTAAAAGCTGGGTCTGCTCTGGGTCACTAATTTGGTCTGACCCCCATCCATGAGGTAGAGTGGAAGAAGCCATGGCACCATCATCTGTGTTAAAGAGAGATTCACTTGCCATTGCAGTCAATTTTTGTATACACAGTTGCAATGGTGGCAGGATTATCATATTATTTACATTAGGTCCCCCAAGTACCACATAGCGTGCCATGTTTATGTCTCATGGTTCCCCAAAGAATTACCACATCAGGGGCATTGTGGGAAATTAAAATGGCAGTTTGACTTCACCGCCTGGTTTCCCCTACGGCTACTGTCCCCTGTAAACAGAATCAACCATCTTCTCCTTTTTGTATCTTAGCTGTCACCCCTCTTATAAGTTATAAGTTTATATATTTTAAAAAAACGTATAAAAAGGGGTATACAGTATTAGTGTTGTGCTGGTGTAGCTTCTCCCAAAGAATAGTGGGAACTATTGAGGGTGCTCAACATTTTCTGTGAGAACACCAAGTACACTCTAAGATAACTATTCCTGAGGTATATGAAGGAAAGGAAATGGCTTTTAGACCAAATAGCATTGGAGATTCTTAATTCTTTATTCCTTCATTTCTATTTTGATATACTGTATATTTCAGCAAGACTTAAAACCGTATGTAGTTAAATGGAAGAAATGCAAAAGTGTGCTGCTTATATACCGCCCCATAATGCTTCAAGCACTCTCTGGGCAGTTTACAAGTTAATTATGCAGGCTACACATTGCCCCCCCCCCAGCAAGCTGGGTACTCATTTTACCGACCTCGGAAGGATAGAAGGCTGAGTCAACCTTGAGCTGCTACCTGGGATTGAACCCCAGGTCGTGAGCACAGTTTTGGCTGCAGTACAGCGGTTTAACCACTGCACCACAAGGCTCTTGAAGGCCAGCATCCTGTTGGTTTCCACAACTACACAGAGGAAAGTGCAGAAGTGATGTTCTCTATTTGTGGGATGTCCTGGTCCGTCCCTCCAGTTGTGCAATGGCTTGCTCAAGAGCCAGCCAGCATAAAGGAGAACCTGTTTATGAAATTGCCTGTATGCACAAAAATTTTTCTAGTAGGATTTTGGCTGAAAATGAATAAAAGCATAAAAAAATTAAAACACAAATTTAAAAGAGACTAATAAAAGAAAATTTAAGTATGCACCCAGTTGAAAGACTGTTGGACTGCGAGAAAGGGAACTGCGAAAGAGCTTGTCTGAATAAAAGAAGCTTTGCCTGTGGTCTATAAATTGCAAATGATAGTTCTCAGAATACTCCCGCCAGCATGGGCATATTTGGTAGCTGTAATACAAAATACAGTATGTCCTGCCAACCTAGCAGTTTGAAAGCATGCAAATGCAAGTAGATAAGGGAAGGTAACGGTGTTCTGTGTCTAGTCGCGCTGGCCACGTGACCATGGAAACTGTCTTCGGACAAACGCTGGCTCTACGGCTTGGAAACGGGGATGAGCATCGTACCCTAGAGTCAGACACGACTGGACAAATTGTCAAGGGGAGCCTTTACCTTTAATACAAAATATGTATGTGCAGCAAAAATCGCTGCTAACCGAAAACATCGCTAAGCGATTTTAAAAAGCCATAGGAATACATTGAAACCCCTTCAATGTGTTCCTGTGGGCTTAAAACTTACTTTTAAGTGAAAATCCTCCATACGGTGTCCATTTTCGCTGCCCGGTATGTGAGGAATCCATCCCTAAACACAGCAGACGGCCATGTTTTTTTTCCGGCAGCCATTTTGGAACTGCCGATCAGCTGCAGTAAAAAGATCGCTATGCGATAATCGGTAAGCGAAACAGCTTACTGATCATCGCAGACCGATTTTTTCCTATTTAAAATGTCGCAATCCGATCGCTTTTTGATCACAAATTCTTCATCGCTAAGCAGTTTTGTCGTTAAACGGGCCGTTCATTAAGCGAGGCACCAGTGTATATACATTTTCTCATCTCTGGCAGATATGGAGAGAGGTGGTCTTCACACACAAACACGCACTACACCTTTTGTTATGGGGCACAACTGCCAGCTGCATGTTTATGCTTATCTATGCAACTGTCTTGAAATTTTGGGCTTCTCAAGCCATTCATGGCTCCATTAAGCTTCTGGAAATTGCTATATTTTCCCCTATTCCCTTTTGTTGACTTCTCTACTGCTCTCTTCCACTCCAAGTGACTTAAGGAATCTTCTCTCTGCTTGCAGGTTCATTGAGCAAAACAGGCTTGAAGCGATCTCGAAGAATGCCTTCAGAGGTCTCAAGAGCCTTCTCCATCTGTGAGTGCTTCTTGGACACAATCCCAGTCCCCACTTAAGAGTCTGATTAGGATGACATCCTTCTCTTCATGCTTCTCCACCCCCCTGAGGACCTGCATCACTCATGAGGACACATATTTGCAAATAAAGGGCGTATGCAAAGATATAGATCCTGATGCAAATACAGAAATAATAACCATAAAATCAGTACTAAGAGAGATTCTGTGTCATCATCTGTGATCACATGACCTTTTTAGTCCAAATGCTCACTGCTAAGGAACCAAGTGACCGTTTCCCTCATTGTTCTTGCTTTTTACTTAACACTGTGCCCTAGAATTGCCACCTATTTTACTAGTGCAAAAATTTTAATTATCACCTTAAAACACCTTTGCCTTCCATCTTTCCATTTGGACATAGATCTAGAGATATATGAAGAGTTTTCAGGTTCTTTTGCAGTAATTTGCAAATCTATCTGTTTTATACCTAGATGCTTGTCTAGCTGAGGATTTTTACCTATGTTTAAAATTTCAGAGTATCAGCATGGATTGTAGCATTAATTCTCACTTACTAGAATTTCATTGTAAGTGATAAGTTATATTACAACAAAAGTTATATATTGTAAGTTATATTACAATTCCATTGTAATATAAACTTCCACTAGGAGGACTACAATCGCATTCTTGTCCAGATTCTTCTGCTCATTTAGGATGGGAACTGCTGACAGGGGAGAGAGGAATGAACTGATATTGTACTAAATCATTGTTAAACCCTTGGAAACAAACATCTTAAGAAACACTCTAGCTGCAAAAGCCTTATTTTAAAGCAGCGGTCCCCAACCACCACCACCCTGGTCTGTCCCTTGGAAACAAACATCTTAAGAAACACTTTAGCTGCAAAAACCTTATTTTAAAGCAGCGGTCCCCCCCCACCACCACCCCGGTCTGTAGCCCGGTGCCGGTCCATGGCCTTGGCAGGAGACAGATCTGCGCCCCCCCCTGCATGCACTCCCCCCACGCATGCCCACCCGCACGCATGGGTGTGCTGCTCACCCGCAAGCGCAGGGGTGCCCCACCTCCCCGCGCACGGACCCTGCCCCATCAACCGATCTGTGGTTCCGAAAAGGTTGGGGACCACTGTTTTAAAGATTATGCCCTGTTTCAATACTCTATTGAGCTATGCCCTTTCTTCCCTAGAGATACAAGTGTGCTATAACTTTTTATTATGCAGAATTGAACTTTTGATATATTCATTTCATTTGCACTCACTATGTGCCTTCTTTGTTACAGCATATTGTTATGTTCCTAAGTCATAGTTAAATGGTATCTATGCTTTAGTTTGAAAGAATAATTCAAAATGAACACCACCTGGTGGTTTCTAGTTGTCATTACTGGCAAGCTTTCTTTCTTTCTTTCTTTAAAAAAATAGCAATACTAAGATTAATTTGAAAGTAAGAGGGGAAAGGCAGCCTGACTGAAATCTCCCTCAAACTATGATGAATAAAGAAATCCTTAGCAGGGGAAATGGATTTTGTCAGGTCTGTATGTCCACACACCTAGGTTTCTACTGAGCCTGTAAACCTACGTTCAGACGGCATGTGAGATTTTACATAAAGCGCACACAACATTATTTTCTCTCAAAACTATTGTTCTACTTATATGCAAGGAGCAAACACATCTAGCTTTCCGTGCAGAGTTTTTTTGTTCTCATTCATTTAAAAACAAAATCATTCACGTGACTCTCTTGTCTGCTGTCTACCGTCCAAACACGGGTTTATCAGCAAGAGAGTCGGCACTACCCTTAGGTAGAGTGAGGCTCAGCTGGTTTGGGTTGTTATGGAGACACAGGCATTGTTTATTATTCGGTTTGGATGCTTCCTTGCTCTTGGAGTTTTATTCCCAGAGAGAAGCACCAGTACATTTTGCAGGCTCAAGTGCCTGCAGGCATAAACGCAATGCACCATGTCAGAGGCGATGGGCCAAGAGGGCAGCTTCTTTCGTTTTGCCTCAGGCAGCAAAATGCCTTTGGCCAGCCCTGCTGCTGATTCCTACACATATCTCTTCGTTCTTACCTCCACGATCTCTCCATCCAACCCAGTGCTGTGTCTACAAATGGTTCCTACCTCATCCTCTTCCCCCTAAAGCGTTTTTCTTTGCTTCCTCACAGGAATTTGGCCAATAATAACCTGCAGACTCTGCCAAGACACCTGTTCCGAGGCCTGGATGTTTTAACTTCAGTGTGAGTTGTAGGGGAAAGAAAACAAGGGGGTTTGGGGTTTGGGAGGGGCTCTGCAGACGGTGGACTGCGGGTACAAACATTCCTCACTATTGGCAGTACTAGCTGAGTCCAATGGGAATTGTACTCTATCGATGTGTGGAGGAATACAAATTGACCACCCTGAGGTAACAGATCCTCACCTCTCTGTTACTGGTAAGGCGCACTACAAAAGCATGTTGGTTTCTTGGCCTGGGTTGGGGGGCGAACATAGAAGACCGGATCTCCAAAGATCAACAAGAACTTGGTTTACATGCCAGCCTTCCCCAACTTGTCCTGTGGATGAGCGAGACTACAAATCTCCTTAATGCCAAACTGGCACATGTGGAGATGGCTGGGGTTGAAATCTGGCTCATCTCAAGTGCACCACTTTGAGGGAAGCTGTTGTAGGTTATTTGTTTGGATTAAGGGTGGGCCCGGTTGCTTTAATGGTGACTGTTCATCCCAAAGCAGCAGAGTGTAGAAAAATGACTTTCTGGGAATACAACTCCCAGCATCCCCCAGCCAGCATTGGTTTAGAAAATTACATAGTTATGCTGACCCTTAATTGTTAATGGATTGTGTTCGGATTATGACGGCTGGAATCCACAACCATGGTAGGCAGTGACCATTCTGGCTGGCAGATTATAAGGGCTCTAGTTCAGGAAATTAACTTTCCCTAGTTCTGGAGCTATGGTAGTTAGTGAAATTAAACTGCTACAACTGTGCCAAGTAAATACACTTTATTGTAGGACAGAGTATTCGGGGGGGGGATTGGTTCCAAGCCCCTTTACAGATGCCAGAAACAGTGGATAATAGTAAACCTTGTACATAGCATGGTATCTTGCGCCTTCTGGTGGCCACGTCTGGTAATTACAACCTGGAAATACATATTTCTGGCTTTCTTCATTTAATATTTTTAATATTGTAATAATAACCTTAGAACTGCAAAGCCGGAAAGGACCCTATGGATCATCAAGTCCAGCCCCTGTCAAGGAAACATAGCGAGGAACTGAACTTCCAACCTCTGGCTCCACAGAGCTTAAAACACCAAGCTATCCAGCAGTTTTTCACACTGTGTATAGGTGAAACCATGGATACTGATCCTGCAGATATAATAGGATCCTGTATATCATATGGATTGTGAATCAGGATGTTTTGGACTGCAGTGCCCAGAATCCCCAGCTTGTGCAGTTCATACTGCGAAAGGTAAAGGACTGGGAGTTGTAGTCTAAAACATCTGCAGTGTGACAGCTTAGAAAAAGAGGGCTGTGGGGAGGAAGAGACAGGTGCACACAAAGTTCCCCCAAATAACACCTGTCTTCCTAGATACTCTTGTCATGTCCCGGGTCTAGACACTTCTAAGAGAAATGACAAACTGCCTTTTCTCCCGGCAGAGACTTGAGGGGAAATGCCTTCCATTGTGACTGCAAGTTGAAATGGCTGGTGGAGTGGCTGAGCCAGACCAACGCCTTGGTGCAACCCATCGAGTGCCGGTCGCCTGCTGAGCTGAACCGCACCAGCCTGAGTGAACTCCGCCCCGGGGGATTTAACTGCATCACCACAAGTAGGTCCTTGCTTTGTGCCGTGAGCGGCTGCTCTCCCTGAAAGATCCTTTTCCATCGTCTCAGCTCTCATCATGATAGAGTGGGTGCCTATCACCAGAAGGGAGAGCAAAGGAGGCGGGCAAATAGAGAACTCATATTTTAATGTGAATATATATATATATACCTGTATCTTACAAGGCAGTGCCCATTGTTGAGTCTGCTGTGCGAGTGCTGCTCACTATGGATGTTCGATTCTGAGGTCCCTGATCTCCCTCCTTAGGAATTTTTTTAAAAATAAGATTTGGTCTGCATTCTCTAGAGCAGTGGTTCCCAACCTTTAGTTCCCAGATGTTCTTGGACCCAAAAGCCTTCGCCACTGGCTGGTGCTGGCCAGGATTTCTGGGAGTTGTAGTCCAAGAACATCTGGGGACTCAGGACTAACTGTAAATTCTCTGAACAATCAAGGTGCCTGCAATATATATTGCAGAGTTTTGAATTTTTTGTTAGAATTATTTTTTCTGGTGCATAGCAGAAGTACAGAGACTCACAGAGGAGAATAGCTTCAAGTTGCCCAGATATTTCACCCCTTTCTCCTTAACTGGCACTTACAGTCTCAATAACTCACTCTGAGACATTTGTAAGAGAAAGAATAAAAATATTCCATTACTTACAGTTGTGAACAGATCAACAGCAAACAAAACAGGCTTCAGTGGATTACGGGGGGGGGGAGAGAATATTCAGCATAGAGGCATGGCTCTTTTTGAATTCAGAGGCGGGAGGGACTGATTGGTTAGTGCTGGGTAGATGGCAGCAGGCCAGCCCAGAAAAGACCATCCCAGTCAAACAAATCACAGGCAGCATGCGAGGTTGCAAAAACTCCAACAATATGAGCAATAAATGCATACAAACTGCAAGACCCATTGAAAGCAGTGATAAGTGAATGTGCCTCTGATGTTGAATGTATACCAATCAATGCAATACTTGAAGTTAAAGGAGGGAAATTTGGGGAGGGGTTCCAACACTAATTTCTGCCCTCCTTCCTGCAGAACTTGAGCTATTTGATACTCTTCCGGAACAGTCCATCTCCGTAGAAACCTTCAACTACCACGGGGAACAAAACTTGGTGGTTGCCCAACCTTTTACTGGTCGCTGCAGCTTCATGGAATGGGACCATGTGGCAGGGAAATTCCGCAACTATGCCTACATCAATGGTGAGATGGCACAGGTTTTCTCTGTAGGGTTGCCAGGGCAACAGCATCACCTTTCCTGAGATTTCAGAGCCAGTAGCTTAAATCAGGGGGAAGAGCCTTGCGATGTCACAGGAGGAGAGCACACAGCGATTGTGAGGGGGTTGCAAACTACATCTGGGTCTACTGATTGTGGGGATAGGAACAAGGTGTTCCACTCTTCTTGCTGTTGTTTAGTCGTTAAGTTGTGTCCGACTCTTTGTGACCCCATGGACCAGAGCACGGCAGGCCCTCCTGTCTTCCACTGCTTCCTGGAGTTGGGTCAAATTCATGTTGATCGCTTCGACAACACCGTCCATCCATCTCATCCTCTGTCGTCCCCTTCTCCTCTTGCCTTCACACTTTCCCAACATCAGGGTCTTTTCCAGGGAGTCTTCTCTTCTCATGAGATGGCCAAAGTATGGGAGCCTCAGCTTCAAGAGCCCCACACTTGCCTTGTATTATATGACACAGGGGTCCCAAAGAGCTGCACCAACTGGCTTTCTTCACAGCCCTCTCCCTTCAACTTCTGAATATTGGTGCACTGATGTTGCACATCTGTAGCACATCTGCAGACAGATTCATTGCGAGCCAACCTGTGAACTCTTTTGCCAGCAGCTGACAGAAGGTGGAAGCAGGTGCCCAGCCTCTGATGCCATCTGTCAAAACAAAAAAACAAGTTTTCTTCTCCTCCAGCATTACTTATTTATTTCCTTGTCTTCCCTGTGTTTCCTCATCTGGAATCTCAGGAAAGCATAGCAGTTCCCTAGTGCCTTGACACAATCCTGTTCCTTTGCCAACCATACTAGATAGAGATTCTGCCATTACGCATCAGACAGTAGCCAAGATTCAAAAGTATTGAGCAAAAGAGAAAGAAAAGAGAAAGAAAAGAGAAAGAAAAGAAGAAGAGCTTATTCGGAAATTCATGCATGAATCCCCTCTATCTCTGAATGGAAACAAATTGGTGAGATCAACATCCGAAAAGTGATACCACACTAATGTAGGGTGTGAGATGTACTCAGGACTTTTGAAACAAATTTTCGATCTAAGCAGAAACTATTTCAGCAGGATGGAATGAGTTTCCATGAGAAACTAGACAGGTGGTACAGCTAGTTAATAGGAACTGTCATCAGCCTTAACTCTCTTAGCTTCCAATAATAAGTGTGTGTGTGTGTGTGCGCAGAGAGCTGCACACTGCAATCAAGGGCAGCATATATCTAACTAGTATAATTCCATTGAAACCAATTTCAGTCTTCTTCATAAAATGCAGTATTGTTACTTATCCCAGAAGCCTTCACCACGAGCTGTGCTGGCCAGGATTTCTGGGAGTTGTAGTCCAAGACCATCTGGGGACCCAAGATTGGGATCCACTGCAATGGTCTACCCTTGATTAGAAATGGGCATAAAATGGAACCATGAAGCAAAAACAATAAACAACACCCCCCCCCCAAATTGGACTTCAAAATAAAGCTAGTTCACACCTGGGCTTACACCCTCCCTGTTATGGAGTCCTTGGCAGGAACTATGCATTGGCAGTAACTTGCAGCAAAGCTTTTTACTGCAGGTTGCCTGCAAACAGGAATGAAGCTGCTTGCAATACATCCTGTTTTGATGCAGTTGCATGTATTAGAACAAGACGTATCGGTCCAGCTGCCTGGCTAGCATTGGGAAGCTTCCTGGCTACTGTCAGAACTGGCATCAGGGAAGTAGCATGCGTGCAAACAGGATATGAAGATGGAACCCACCCCCCAAGCAATACTATTGTCCCTAGCCAGCCAGGGCCAGGGTAGCCGGGACGCCTCCCAGCACTGGCCGGGAGGTGATGCTCTGCTTTTGTTACATATTGAGTAGATGAGAACTCTGCTGCTGTGAGCCCAGCACTGCCAGTAGCCCAGAAGCCTCCCAGCACTGGCTGGCTGGCAATGGGAACCCTAATGCAGTTTTTAAAAAAATTAATGGTTATTATTTTTAAAACACAGTAGGGTTTGTCTTGTGTGCAGCGACTGGAGTTGCTGTGGATTCGATCTGGGTTTTCCCCCCTGTAAATGTAGTTCCAGCCCTTGAAAGTACTGAATTTTTCCATGTATAAGACTATACTTTTGTCTAAAACCGTTAGACTAAAATTTGCGGGTCGTCTTATACACAGAAGTAAGCTGAGGAGAGAACAAAAAACAAGTGGAGGGGAAAGCAGGGATCAAAGCGATCCTGCAGTGCTTTGATCCCTTTCCCCCTGCACTTGCTAAGCCCCACTTGGATTTCTTAATTTTGGATTAGAAAAGTGGGGGGGCGTCTTATACATGGAAAAATACGGTAGCTTGTGGTGGAAGGCAAGCGCATAATAGGTTCTGATGTTGTCTCCATCCATTGGGGCTTAATGGCAGCTGCTGGGAACCTGGCATGTCGTTGGCTGTTTTAGAAGATGAAGCTGCTGTGTTTGAGCCCTGTAAGGGCAAAGGGTTAAGAATTTGATAACATCTCAAAGGAGAGAAAAAAGCAGGACTGGAACCACATGTTCTGGACCTCCTAAACGTCTGGTGTTTGGGGCTGAAAGGGAGGGAACTCTTCTGTTGCCATTGTTGACGTAACATTCATTTTGCCAGTCAAGTTCATTTCTGAACATAAAATTCATGGGCATCTTATCTTTTTTCCTCAGGCAGCAAAGCAACATGGGCTGGCCCTGGTGAATATCTGAACACTTGCTCCTGCCCTCTACAACCTTTCTCCTTAGTTGCATCTTATTTTTAGTTGATTTAGAACTTGCCATTCTGCCAAAACCGGGTCCTAAAGGAGCTTATGAAATTTAAATGGCCTAAGTTTGGAGACCTCCGGGACAGAAAGGCGATAATCAAATGCACTAAAATACTTTAGATTTAAAAACACTGAAAAGGTTATCATGCTGACATGCAATTAAACCAACCATAATCTTAAAACACTGCTGAATTAAAAACCATCTTAAACTACGTCATTTATATATATCATTTTAATATCAGTGTAACATTAATATCATAATATTAACACCACAGTATTAATATTGCTTTAAAACACTATAATTTGAAATGCTGTAGAATAAACATAAGGACATTATTAGTAGTATATTATCTTAAAATACAAGGCACAGTCTTTAGCTGGTATTATTTAACAGATACAAGTTTTAACAAAAAATTATCAGGTAATATTGATGTAATATGTATTACTAGTATTGCCTTTTTTGTACAGCTCTGATGTTATTTCAGATGCTGATGGTGAAAGTGATCATGATGATGATGAGTAATAGTAATAGTAGTAGCAGTTCTTTTAAAAAATGACAGCACAGATTCCTGAGGACTAGTTTTTTAATTGTAGCACTTCTAGAATCAGACATAAATAACACACATAGATGTTTCCAGATTGGAGAAAATGGCAGGAAAATGGCAAATGAGATTTAGTGTAACCAGGCATATTGGGGCCAAAAAATACAGTGGTGCCCGGCATAGCGACGTTAATCCGTTCCAGGATTAACGTCGCTATCCGGATTCGTGTTCCTATTGGGGAAAAACTCACCGCTATGCGGGGAATCCTCCATCTGGCCGCCATTTTCGCCGCCCGGTAAGCGAGGGCAGGGCACGAAAACGCTCCGGGCGGCCATTTTCTGCACCACGCGGCCATTTTGGAACAGCCGATCAGCTGTTTTCTAAACATCGTAATGCGAAGATCGGTAAGTGAAACTCTTACCGATCATCGCAATGCGATATTTAGCTATTAAAAACATCACAATGTGATCGCATTAGCGATAGCAAAAAATAGATCGCTATGCGGATTCGTTGTTAAACGGTGCGCTCGATATGCGAGGCACCACTGTACTGTAAAATAAATTATCTTTTGTTGTCAAGGTGATTTCATGGTAGCATACTAGGGAAAGACAGATTAAATACAACCCAAAACAAAATGGAACATTCATTTTATTGTGTTTATTTATAACAAAAGTTATTATCTAAATTCATCCAAATCTTTATTCACCAGTTTTTAAAAATTGCTATATTTTGACAGCCACATTTTCTTCAGTCAGAACACTGTAAGACATAATGAAGAGACCTCCCTAACAGCCAAATAAGAGGTCTAACATGATGGTATGAATATTGTAGTACTATACTAACCAGTAAGCCTGTACAGTACAATCCATTTGTTTCTTATACTTACTTCCTTTCACACCTATAGATCAATAAAAGTCTTGGGTTTTCCAAGAAAAAATATTTCAGAACTCTTATTTTTCCAGTAAGCAAGTAGTCATACCTGACAATAATTAAATATGCAATTGCATAGTAATTGTTTCTACTCAGTCATCCCTTGCTAAAAGAAGAAAGCCATTTTCAGATATTACTTTCACTGTGGGAATCAACATCACGATAAGCAGTTTCCTCTCTCCTGACCCTACTGTCTAGCAAAACTCACCGCAATTTAGACCATCACAAATGAAGTTTTTCCACCTACAATCGACATCAACAGTGGCTACCACACTTCTAAGTAACAAGAACATGAAAATATACTATGAAGGGAGCATACGGAATTCAAAATCCTGTACACAAAGGCTACCAGATCAGTAATTTCCTCAAAACTCTGCTCTTCATAATGAAGATTTTACCATGATTTTTGTTGGCAAAGAGTCAAGCTAGTTTTCAAGCTGAATCGTCTGATCTGCATTGTAGAAATGTGGCCACAAGAGTACACACAGCTCCGGGATCACACTCTTCCTGCGACCCTACGTTGGATACAGAACCCAGATTAACTTCCCAACAAATTCAAGCTGATCTGCAGACACAGGGTACAACAGTGTCAGCTCGCACTATCTGTCGCCATCTGAATGAAAAGGGACGCTACGGAAGGAGACCCAGGAAGACACCACTGCTGACGCAAAGGCATAAAAAAGCAAGACTGGAGTATGCCAAAACTTATATGACAAAACCACAATTCTTCTGGGAGAACATACTATGGACAGATGAGACAGAAGTAGAGCTTTTTGGTCAAGGACATCATGGCACAGTTGACAGAAAAAGAAATGAGGCATTCAAAGAAAAGAACACAGTCCCTACAGTCAAACATGGTGGAGGTTCAAAGATGTTTTGGGATTGCTCTGCTGCTTCTGGCACTGGATGCCTTCAGATCGGAATCCCATAGAACACCTGTGGAGAGATCTCAAAACAGCAGTTGGGAGAAGGCATCCTTCAAATCTGAAGGCCCTCGAGCAGTTGGCAAAAGAAGAGTGGTCCAAAATTCCAGTAGTAAGGTGTAAGAAACTCATTCATGGTTACAGGAAGCGATTGATTTCAGTTATTTTTTCCAAAGGGGGTGCTACTAAATAATAAGTTAAAGGTGCCAATCATTTTCTGTCAGAACTGCAAGGGTGCCACTACATTAGGAAAGCTGGAGAAGTTTCAGTAAAGGACAACCAAGATGATCAAAGGACTGGAGAAACTCCCCTACAATGCCAAGGTGCTGCATTTGGAATTGTTTAGCACAGAATAAACGCTATTTTTTCCAAAGGGGGTGCTACTAAATAATAAGTTAAAGGTGCCAATCATTTTCTGTCAGAACTGCAAGGGTGCCACTACATTAGGAAAGCTGGAGAAGTTTCAGTAAAGGACAACCAAGATGATCAAAGGACTGGAGAACCTCCCCTACAATGCCAAGGTGCTGCATTTGGAATTGTTTAGCACAGAATAAAGGCTTTGAATCCCCAATGTTTGAGTTGTTTACCTTAGGAAAAAGCTCTTCATAAGTGAGACAAGAAACTTCTCATGAGATGCCTCACAAGACGAATTTAATTTGTTCCGTGGTTAATGTTGTCTTGCGAAAAATTTGTCTTGCGAAACGCGTTTTCCCATAGGAATGCATTGAAATCTAATTAATGCGTTCCTGTGGGCAAAAAAAGTCATTAAAAAGTCAAATTTGGTTTACAAAGGGTTTATTAAGTGCTCTTCAAAGCCATACATATTGTGCATATGATTTCAAAAATTTCAATCAAAAAACTTTAACTTTTTTAAACATCATAGAAAAACATTTAAAAATCAGCAAACATGAGGCAGGAACAAAAAACGGAAAACATTTTTCTTGCGAAGCACGGCCATATGAACATTTATCTTGCGAGTCATCAACCTCCATCGCCAAAACCATTTGTCTTGCGAGTTTTTTGTCCTGCGAGGCATTCTTCTTGCGAGGCACCGCTGTATTTAAAATTATGCATGGATTGGAGAAAGGTGATAGTGTTGGCTGCTGAGCTGGGTGGTTTTTAAAGGAGAGTAGACAAATTCATGAAAGATAGAACAATTTTAGTCACCAGTAAGAATGGCTGTATATTACTCTAGTATCAAAGACAGTACGCTGGGAAGTGTGAGACAGGTGACGCAGTTGCATTCATGTCCTGCTCTCGGGCTCCCCATAAGCAACTGATTGGTCAGAATTAGTTGGACTAACTAGGTCTTTGGTCTGATCCACGGTGGATCTTCTGATGTTCTTATGGATTCTCCTCTCCCCTCTTTTCGGTACCTAGGGTCATCCACAGTGGTGTGCAAACCTCTGGTGATTGAAGGTGAGCTCTTTGTTGTTGTAGCTCAGCTGTTCAAAGGCTCCCACATCTACAAGCGCCACGAAGCCACAGGCCAGTTCCTGCACATGCAAGTGATTGACAGCTCACGCATCCGCAAGCCCAATGACATCGAAGTCTTCCGCGTGGAAGGCGACTGGTACTTCATTATGGCAGACAGTTCCAAGGCTGGCTCCACCACCCTCTACCGCTGGAACGGCCATGGCTTCTATTCTCACCAGTCCCTCCACGCCTGGTACCGTGACACAGACGCCGAATTCTTGGAGATTGCTGGCAAGCCGCACCTCATCCTGGCCAGCAGCTCCCAACGCCCAGTCATCTACCAGTGGAACAAGCAGCAGTTTGTGCGCCGCACTGACATCCCCGACATGGACGATGTCTATGCCGTCAAGCATTTCAAGGTCAAGGAGGATGTGTATATCTGCTTGACCCGCTTCCTGGGTGACTCCAAGGTGAGGAGGAGCTCTGCTGAATCGAAGGATGGGTTACAAGCTGGGGAGGAAAAGCAAGCCCTGTGCAGGCAAATAGCTACTTCAGCCTATTTGGTTGTACAGTGGTGCCTCGCATAGCGAGGTTAATCCGTTCCGGATTAACCTTCGCTATAGCGAAACATCGCTAAATGGAATTTAAAAAGCCATAGAAACGCATTGAACTTTGTTCAATGCGTTCCTATGGCTTGAAAACTCACCGTTAAGCGAGGTTCTGCCATAGCGCCGCCATTTTCGCGCCCTCGGTAAACGAGGGCAGGGCGCGAAAATGCGGCGCGGACCTTCCGGCGGCCATTTTGGAACCGCCGATCAGCTGTTCTCCCCCACTTCGTTATGCGATATTCGCTAAGCGAATCGCTTAGCGAATATCGCAAAGCGAAAAATCCCCATAGGGGCCATCGCTGAGCGAATGCTCCAGCGATGGCCCAGAGCACCTCGTTAAGCGATTTCATCGCTCAGCGAGGCGCTCGTTAAGCGAGGCACCACTGTATTAATAGAATCAAAATTTCCAACTCATTGCTAGCTGGAGAGCTCAGTGGGTTGGAACATGTGACTAAAGAGCCAGCAGTTTGGAGTCTGATGGCTACAGTAGCTTTCCTTAGGTTTTCAGGCAGATGTTGGACTGTCACCTATCAGTGGCGACTCAAACTCTGGATTTATTGTTCAAAATGAATACATTACAGCAGTGGTTTTTAAGCTTAGGTCCCCTTGATGTTTGGGCTTCAACCATGGTCATTGGCCATGCTGACTTCTGAAGTCGAGCTCTTTCTCGCTGTAATTCAGAGCGGATTCTGAAGTCCAAAGCATCTGGCCAGAGATGGTTGGCCAGAGGTTGAGAACCACTGACCAAAAAGACCTCATCCAGTTGTGTGATTCTTGGGCTATAGGGTAGAATGCTATTATGCCATTTGATTTAAACCATGGGAGTACAACCAGGACAATTTTTGATCAATTGCATTCGTGACATCTAAGCACAGCAGAATCCAAGTCTACAGCTCCCACTGTTGGCTAGATACCATGATGGGACAGAGTAAGACACCTCGGAAAAACAACTCACATCTAACTTACATTCTATTGATTTCAATGACTTCACTCAATGTTGTTGTTATGTGCTGTCCAGCTGCTTCCAACCTATGGTGTTTGGAAGGTTTCCAAGGTATGTGAGGTATTCAGGGAATGGTTTACTATTTCCACTCTTCTGAGAGTTTCCATGGCTGGGTCGGGATTTAAATCCAGGTCTCAGGGGCCTAGTTTGACACTCTATCCACTATACCACATTGGTTTTAAACTTCTCTATAGATACGACTAAATCAAGATCTAAGACTAATAGTTTATTTAGGTTTCTAGAATCACTTTTTCCATGACCCTTCTTTACCTAGTTTCCCCTATAATCCAGGTCATTTCGAGCATTTGAATTCAGCTCATCATCCTAAAAATCCAACTTTTTGGTCAGCGTAGGACCTACTAGGCAATATTTCCTTTATTGTTTCTGGCCATAGGCCTTTACAAAGACAGACGTACATAAAAACGATGTGTTTCTGGCCATAGGCCTTTACAAAGACAGGCGTACATAAAAACGCTGAAATGCAAAAGGATGCCCCGGGGTCAATAAACCCGTTCTGGGAATGGCGGCATAGCGTATAATATCAAAGTCACTATTTTCAACATTTATGCAATATTATGAACCTTAACCAATCGAAGCCTCAACTTCTTAGCTACCAGAGCAAATTGTGCAGCAGAGTACATAATACACAGCTGTGTATCAGCGAATAGTCTTACTATTATTTTCATTGAAATTTCCAGGCAATATGCAACTATAGTGAAAGAGGTTGTTTCCGTCTTCTGAGTCGGAGTGGCAGAAAAGGGATCTTTTGCAGCTCCGTCAACCAGGGCCTAGTGCCAATGACAGATGCTTAAAATTAAGGAAGTATGGGCCTAGGAATGATCTGGGGAGCTACACCAAACAGGGCTCATCATCGTTTTATATGACAGCCTCTTCAAAGCAGAGGAATCAAAAGGACACAAAAGTTGTGACAGATCAGACAGAAGACTGTCTAGTCTAGTATTGGGTTGCCACAGTGGCTAGGATCTGGGGAGCTACACCAAACAGGGCTCACCATCGTTTTATATGACAGCCTCTTCCCGATTGACCCACAACCTCCAAGCTCCCTTCATTTCATCTGTGAACTGCAAAGCAGAGGAATCAGAAGGACACAAGAGTTGTGACAGATCAGAGAGAAGACTGTCTAGTCTAGCATTGGGTTGCCACAGTAGCTAACCAGAGGCTCAATGAATGAATGGGTGATCTCCAGAAGGTCAGCTCCTGCAAACGCAAAGCCATGGCGTCCTTTACTGACCCAGACTATCATTATCTTCTAACAGTCCATGAAGTGCTGTGCATAATAGGAGAGGTGGAATCATGCAAGCATAGTTTTTACAGTTATCGTATTGGGCAGTCAAAAGAATGCCCCTCTAAGGAAGGGGCCAAGTTTCATGCCTATCGCTCATCTCTGTCCCAGGTTCATTCCCATGCATCTTGATGTAGGGCTAGGAAAGAATCCTGCCTGAGGAGTTGTTCTTAATCAGTGCTCACAATTATAGATGGACCAATGGCTTTATGTGATATTCTTATGAACTGGGGCCATATAAGGATACTGACTTAATATGTTCCTTGTGACGCCTAGAGTGTTGAGATTCCAACACCAGAAGAAGTTGGAAATGCTACAACAAACATTTGGGGTAATTAAGATCTACTTCTGACAAGTTTTGATCTGACAAAGGTTAGAATAAAATATTATTCCTGGACCCGTTTTGCTTTAGGCTAGGTACTTTTTCGGGAAATTAATCTTCTGACATTTTAAAGATCCCAGCTAAACTGCTGAAATTCCTGTCTGCAGACATTCAGATCGATCTTGTGTTTGCTGGGTCATCTCAGGGAATGGTTCGTGTATGTAATGGGCTCCGTTTCTTAAGCCATCATTTTGCACCGCCGTGGCTGGATAACTCAGCGGCTTAGGTCTCTGGCTAAAGAGCATGGGAGTTCGATACCCCATTGCGCCTCCTGAAAAGGGTCACCACAAGTCAATTGACTTAACAGCACATGATGACGATGATGATTTCTGTGGCTTGCGTTTGGCATGCTAGGAGAAAAGAAAAATGAAACTCAAAAGCAGTCTACTTGCCTCTGAGTTATCTTCTTGTGGTTGCTTCTGATTCACAACTTGGTTAGAAGTTGGGTATCTATTCATCTTGGAAATGTTGCTTTTCGAGATGCTCTCAAATCCCCCTGGACAGCCTGGTCAGTGACAAGGCCACCTGGGAGGTTCTGGAGCTGTTGGTCAAAAAAGTAACTTTTTACAGCATCAGCCGTGCTGTTTTTTGGATTCAGGGAATTGTCATCCCAAAATAAGTAATGTTTTCAAGTTCTCTGGGTCTAATAGAATTGGGACTAGCTATTTGATTTAAGGCCCAGTTTTCTAGCTCATGAAAGGGACGTGGTGGCACTGTGAGTTAAACTGCTGAAGCCCCTGTGCTGCAAGTTCAGAAGACCTGCAGTCATAAGATCGAATCCACACTTGTCCCAGCTCCTGCCAACCTAGTGGTTCGAAAGCATGCAAAATGCAAAATGTAAGTAAATAAGTAGGTACCATCACAGTGGGAGGGTAATGGCGTTTTGTGACTAGTTGCGCTGGCCACGTGACCACGGAAGATTGTCTTCGGACAAATGCTGGCTCTATGGGTTGGAAACAGAGATGAGCACTGCCACCTAGAGTCGGACACGACTGGACAAATTGTCAAGGGGAGTCTTTACTGTTACCTTTTTTTTTCTAGCTCATGATGCTTTCTGCTGTTGACAGGTGATGCACTGGGATGGTTCCATGTTCCGAGATGTCCAGCAGATGCCTTCCCGGGGTTCCATGGTCTTCCAGCCACTGAACATCGCTGGGTACCGCTACGCCTTCCTAGGCAATGACTACTCCTTCAGCAAAGTGTACCGTTACGACCCCATCACTGGGCTTTTCCAGCACTTCCAGGAGCTGAACACCCAGGCACCCCGCTCCTTTGCCCACTTCAATGTGGATAAGCGAGACTTCCTGATCGCCTCCAGCTTCAAAGGCAAAACGCACATCTACCAGCATGTCATCCATGATGAGAGTGCCTGAGTGTGGTGACGGTGGAACAGGGGCTGTCGAGCAGAGGAGGCAGCGACCTTGGGGGAGGGGGGAGAGAGAAGGAAGTACAGAACCAGAGAGTAGAGCCAGCCCCTGGAGGAAGTGCAGTGCCAAAAGCAACCACTAGGGGGGGACAGCACTGGAAACAGATGCTGTTTAAAGAGCAACTTCTCCAGTGGAACAGAGTACTGGGGCGTACTGGGTAACAGCTAGCCAGTGGGTGGAAGCCAGGCAGCTATAGAACCGTGATCATCGCTAGGAGATACCAAGAATGGCAGCAGGAACCACTGGAATACTTAATATTTTACCCACTAGCTGGTAACAGAAGGATCCTGCAATTTCTGGTGATGTCCGAGCCAGACGCTTGCAAGTTTAAAGTGGGGCTCAACAGAATATCCCACCAATAAGATTTGGAGAGGCAGCCTCTGCCTGGAATCACTCCAAATCTTGTCTCCAAGCAGTCACTTTTTTCCCCAACTAAAGAGTGAATATCGTTCATCTCATTATCATTTGTCATTATGTCCAGATGGAGATAATTAATTTATGCTCCCCCTTTCCTCATTCTGCTTATATTCCCTTTTTTAAGAGAACGGTGGGAACAATTACCTGTTGCTTATTTTCTCTGCTTGCTTGTTTTTGCTGCCACTGATTTTTTTCCATTTAAAATGCATGATTTATATATTTAAAAAAACACACACAATGTGCAATTCAGCACAAGGATACCGCAACTAACAGCACAATCTTATGCATGCCTATCAAGAAAGTTAGGGTGTATAGGGTTGCCACCTAAATGTCATTTAACTTCAGTCCTGGTGGACTTCCAGGCTCTCCTTGAGGCAAGCAGCATGATCCCCAAGCAAGTCCATAAGGAAGCCTCATTGCCTTCAATGGGACTTACTCCCAAGCAGGTATCCATCAAACAGCAGAACTTAGTTGCAATTATTGACTGCGTCACTGGGGTTTTAACAGCCATTTTCAGTTCTATGCTTCTGTTTTTGCTTGATTTTTTACAAATTTGATTTGAGGCACTATACCAAGTCAGGTTATTAAAACACAAACTGAAAGCACAAGCTTAACTTTAAGCACACAAGGGATCCCCACAAATTTTTGTGGGGAAAAGACAAAGAGGGCACAGGGTAAGATGGTCTCATTGACCGGACAGGTGGGCAGAAGAGAACGCAGTCCGAGAAGAGGCTCCATTAAGACGAATGGGTGGGAGATGGATACGGCAGTGAACAAGTAGAGTATTTATCTTTTACCTGTAAATATCCGGCATGTTATTCAAATCCATCAGACCTTCCAGTAGTGGGCAGCACCAAGCTGTAGGGAACACTATGTATTCACTCCTAGCTCTTACTGGAATCATGAGGATGCAAAGCTGGGATCCACTGGGGGAAAATGGAATATACCACGAGAGGATGCTTCCAAAGGACAGACTGCTATCCTCTTCTGTCTCACATTCATGATGTGGGATCCCACAGATGAGTGTTGTAAATAAAGAAAATGTATATTGTTAATGGGCTCAAGAACATTATCATTTGCTCCACAGTTTGCTTCAATTCACATGCCAAGGGATCGTGAATGGATGACACAGGGAGGCAAACCTGTGCTTGAGGTCACGAAGGGATTACTGACCCAAAGGTGTGGACACTGGGATCTTTAGGAGGTCAGGGGGTAGGAAACCATTCAGTCCAAAGATTGGAGTACAGTGCTCTCTCTTGTGTCCACCAGCCAATTTTCACACACCTTTAGCTTTGCTTTAGGAGGTTGAGAGGCACTTTCTTCCCACATCTGCAAATCTCACCAGTGGGAGCAACGCTCAGTGCAAAGTGAGGACTGGGACCAGCCCTACCACTTGGCAGCGTGAGCTTGTCACCCCAGGTGGCAACATTTGCTAACCAGGTTGCCCTTCACTTCCTATAAGCTAATGCTTTCCCTCCAACACCAGTGGCAACAAAGAATTCATCTGCTAGTCCAGTTGGGCTTTAACATATAGGGTGGGAGGGACCACCTCCCTGCCCACCTCTGCTAGCAAAATATTTTGGGACGAGCGCATGCTACCGCTTTTGCCTCTGAAATGTTTTTGGCACAGCCTTATTAGAGCTAAGTTTCAAGAAAGGAGGGCTGAACTACACCAGTCTTTGCAAGAGCCCAGCCTAAAGCTAGGATAGCCAGCTCTTTCCTTCTCCAGACTCAATGGGGCCATTTGGTAGATCATAGGATCATAGCATAATTGAGTTGGATGGAGCCTATATGGCCATCAAGTCCAACCCTCCACTCAACGCAGGAATCTGAATCAAAGCAGATCCCACAGAGGGTTGTCCAATTTTCTTTTGAATGCTTCCAGAAATGGAGAACTTTGTAGTCCAAAAAAATGTTTTTGGTGTCATCTTCTCCTCTTCCTTCTCCTTCCCCTCCTTTTTTATTTGTTCCAAATTTGGTATAAATTTGGATCTAAAAGAAAAGGATACTAAGCTAGGCTGCAGACGCTGGCATGCATGATCCCTATTCATATTCAAGAAGTGGCTGGATTTCTCTATTCCTAATTGCTTGGACAAAACTAACATAACTTTTAGGTTACACCATGTTCAGCTTCAGAAATGAGCTGTTTATCAAAGGGCATCCACATGCCCTTTGACCCAAACAGCCAGAGAAAAGAGAATCTAGCAACAAAAATACAGCCAGGCCTCTGACAGTAACACCCTGGTCCTTGCACAACATCTCTTAGTGGCACGTTTTGTAGGGATCTCTGGACTGCATGAACACATTTTGCTCTCCAAGTTTACAAGATGAAGGGTTTTGGAACTGCAGAGATACATGAGTGAACTGTCATACGGAGGAAAAACAGCACAGATTTCCTACAGAGATTTCATAGTTGTCTTGAGGAGTTATCCATTGACCAGGGTCTTATGTTATCTGCGTAATCTTAAAAGCATAACAAGCAGCAATTAACAGAATACTTTGCTCTGTAACAAAATCCATTCCCATTTTATTATAGACATCTATAGTAAAGTCCTTCCAAGATGGCTTACACGAGAATATGCATCAAAAACACAGGAGCGACAGAGATATTCAAGCAGCATAAAATCATTTGATACAAAGGTGGTTAGAATCTATTTGAAGAGAGTAAAAGGGAGGCTGGTGGAGGCCTCCAAGAAAGGGATTTTAAAGATGTGGGGTTACCATACCATGGCATGACACATGGTTATGGAGCCCTCATGCCCTATTGCAGTCTCATTTCTGCTTAGACTGGTGTGGGCAATGGTGGCCCTCCAATGGTGCAAGGTTCAGGGAGCGGCGATCCAAAAACCTCAACAGGGCCAAAGTGTCCTGCCTTTGAACTATGCAATCTTCCCCAGTCTGATATTCTCCAGATGTTGCTGGAGCACAAATGCTTTCCCATCAGTCCTAGCCAGCACTGACAACAATCAGGAAAGAGGGGAGATGTTATCCACCATCTGGAGCACACCATACTAGGAAAAGCCAAAGAGAGAAATCTCCTGTAAATATTGGAAGGGTGATTTAACACAAAAATCTCTGGGAATACTTCATTGGGATGGATTCTCTCTGTGTCACTTGAGTCGAAAGATGCGTTCCCTGGGCTTGCAAATGGCAAATCTAAAAAGCTGGGAAATGTAACCCTGAAATGATTATAGACTCCATTCTCTCCATCCTTCCACAGCTTGAAATGGCCATGGCTAAAACCTATCCTCTTCATCGTTAATGTCCAGAAGAGCTGGCAAAATTAGATGGTATACTGCTGCAGGGGTGGCAACACATAACCCTGAAGTCATTCTTGCAGCAGCTAATCACCCAGCCAACCAGCCAATTTCGTGTGTGTGTGTGTGTGTGTGTGTGTGTGTGTGTGTGTGTGAGTGAGTGAGAGTGCGAGAGAGAGAGAGAGAGAGAGATTTTCCACTCTTTACAAGAGAGATGTCTGCTTACCAGCCTCAAATCAAATCAAAAACCTTTCCAGCACAGGCTGAGACCATTTATTTCACAAAAGCAGCAACATTTTTATTGTATTTTTAAAAAACAGAGCACTGGAACGAGGGCCCAGAAAAACAAGGGGGTAAGCGGCTGAGGTGCTTGTGTTCCTCGCAATTTCAAAGGCTCAAGGCAAGGCTTGTGACGGGCTGTTATTTCAACTTAGCACTCACTGGCATCTCCTTCAGAAGCAGAAAGAGAGAGGAAAAATGAAAGAGAAAAGCTTATTAGAGATAACAGTGAATTGATTAGAATTCCTTGCCAAAACTGAAGGCAAGAACTCAAAATGAGTGGAGCACAGCCACAGTCACCCTTTCCTCATTTGACCCCAAGCATCTTTTGCTGATTTTTTTTATCAATACAATTTTCTCAGACGTCCTCAGGTGGGAAGTCCAAAGTTCACTTCGGGTAAAAATTTCACTGCATCCATAAAAACCACACCCAGGAGGTTTAGTGACTTGAACAGATTGTCTTTTAAATCCCAGAGAGACTGCAAATTCACTTCAAGATCCTCTGTAGGACGGGGGCTCATAATTTGATTCCCCCCCCCCAACTACTTGAATTTGGGCCTTCAACTAGCATCAACACTAGCCAGCATGCCCAATGGTCAAGGAGAATGGAAGCTGCAGCTCAATATTGGAAGGGCCACCAGTTCACCCACACAGAGGTGAAAAAGGTGGCACCAGGCCTGAAAAACCTCCCCATTCTAGAAAAAAATGCTTACCTGGAAGAGAACATTTTGGTGCCACGGCGATCTGGACACTAGACAAAGAGAGAAAGAGAGGTTATGAACGTTGAACCACAATCTGCATTTGTATTTTATGTATTATGTATGTACAGTAGGACCCCTGTATCCACGGGTTCAGTATCCACAGTTTCACGTATCTGCAGTCTGAAACTATTAAAAATATTAAAAACAAAACAAAACTAGAAACACATATTTTCATGAACTGGCCACTAGGGAAAGCCAGAGACCATTCAGCATTCCTGGGGGTGGGGGCTTGGAATCAATCCTTCAAGAATATGGAAGTCCTACTGTATGTGTGATAACAAACTTAAGACAGCATCTTAAAAAACGGAAACATCACCTTGCCGACAAAGGTCTGCATAGTCAAAGCTATGGTTTTTCCAGTAGCGATGTATGGAAATGAGAACTGGACCATAAAGAAGGCTGATCACTGAAGAATTGATGCTTTTGAATTGTGGTGCTGGAGGAGACTCTTGAGAGTCCCCTGGACCGCAAGGAGAACAAACCTATCCATTCTGAAGGAAATCAACCCTGAGTGCTCCCTGGAAGGACAGATCCTGAAGCTGAGGCTCCAATACTTTGGCCATCTGATGAGAAGAGAAGACTCCCTGGAAAAGACCCTGATGTTGGGAATGTGTGAAGGCAAGAGGAGAAGGGGACGACAGAGGACGAGATGGCTGGACAATGTCATCGAAGCTACCAACATGAATTTGACCCAACTCCGGGAGGCAGTGGAAGACAAGAGGGCTTGGCGTACTCTGGTCCATGGGGTCACGAAGAGTCGGACACAGCTTAATGACTAAACAACAACAACTGTATGTGTGTATGTATGAATATTTGTATCTTGCCTTTCTCCCAAAACCAGGATGCCAGGCCTTCACAAAAGTTTAACCAACTAAACACGGTGATATATGAAAGCCTGAAAACACAAACTGTAATCTTAGAACACAACAGAACTAAAAGCAATGAAAAGAGGAGCAATAAGCAAAAGCAGAGAAACCTCCATTAAATGTCCCTTCCTCAGCAACTACTCAATTGCCCCAAAGCCTGCAGGAATGGAAAGGTCTTTGCCAGAACAACAGGAAGGAGGGTAACCTAGACTCCTCTCAGACGGACGGCCAAAACCTGGGCACAGTCACGAGGAAGGGAACCATGCAACCGCGGAAATGTGACTCTGGCAGGGGTGAGAGAAGAGCCTCCCCAATACTCTTAAAACTTGGACAGGTTAATAGAAGAGGATATAGTCCCCATATGAATCACTGGATTCAGAGTTTGCTCTTGCCTAGAATGATACAACCTCTGGGCTGAAATATATGCCTTTGGAAATCACCACAAGCACACACCCCTATCCCTGTCCTTACCTGCTTCTCCTCTTAGGTTTACATTTGCACTTTCCACCTGAAAAGACAAAACCAGCAAGAACTTTAGGGAAATTCAGGAGCAAGGCCATCAGCAGCTGCCCAAATGCAAGAGTTCTACACAAGCAGGATATGTAAATGTCACCAGCAACAGCTCTTGACATCTCAGGTATTGGGGATGGATCGAAGCAGTGGGGAGATCCCTGCTTCAGATCTTGGAAAGCTGCGTCCCACTAGGTTGCAGTGACCAAGAGCCTAAATACATGGCAATTCCATGCAAAGTTTTATTTTGTCTTGGAATGTAAAGTTTGGATAGCCAACCTGGCCCTCCAGATGTTGTCGGACTGCAACTGCTATCCTATCATCTGCCATCACTAGGTGAGATACCTGAAAGTTGCTAGGAGTTGCAGTCCAACATCTGAAGGACAACATGGTCCTCGTATCTTTTATGAAAAAAGAGGTGGACAAATGATGGCCAATACCAAGGTCTACCTCCTACCTCTGGTCACACCGGCAAAATGTTTCCAAGTTACTTCTCATGAGGTTTGACTCTTTTTGTGGGAGTTCAGATGATGCACGGCCATTACCAATTTTTTAATATATATTTTTTATTTGATGCTATCTCCACTTCAAATCCAGTCCGCACGGCCATTACCAATTTTTTAATATATATATTTTTATTTGATGCTATCTCCGCTTCAAATCCAGTCCGCTGGGAGGCTATTACCCTATTTGTTCTGTGTTTCATCACACAGTACAATCAACATTCCAGATTGTGAACTACAAAACTGATACATTTCCTTTACATCTGGTGTGCTGTCCCACCCACCCCCAAGCCGTCATTCGACTCCCTTAATTTTAAAAAATTAATTATTAATTTTCAAGTGTGAATGTCAGCATATTGATATGCTTCTGTCAAAAGAGCCGTGGGTTCTCCACCATTAAGGGTAACGCAGCACAGAAATGGGGGGGGGGAATGTACCAGATCAGCATGTGGCCAACAAGGGCATTTTGCTGACACACTGATGTATCTACCCAATATTTTTTAAAAGGGGGGCAGAGAAACACACACAAAAAAAGAGAAGGGATTTGGCTCACTGCAGGGGTATAAATGAACGTACCGTATTTAATTTAATTTTAAAATGTGGAACTGTTAAAAAACATATAAATCGCTATCATGGGATATATGTCATGTGAAAGCAACATACGATTCTACAGGAAACAGAAGGCGAGAGAAAAGAGGGGCCATTTCTCTAGTGTGACCACGGCCTGAATTGTTTTATTTTACTACTTTGATTTTACTAATACTTAGTTGTAGTAAACTGCCCTAAGAACAACTGAGCAGGAGGGCAATGTTGGGGGTGTGGGGAAGGTATATTCTCTTGGATTAAATAACTTTATTCTACAGATAGAAAGAGGGTTGACCCAAGATTTCAATTTCAAAGGCAGAGCAGCAAATAGTGGCCCCATCCCACCCAAGTCAAGATACAGAGTGTCTAATGGGAGATCACATTTTCTGACACTTGAAGCAGAACATTGCACAAGTACCACTCCTCCTTTCTCAAGCGGTAAAAATATAAGAGCAACAGCTGAAATAGCTAACAATTTTGCTCTGCTTTCAGGATGCTCAAAATCTGCTGTTTCATGTAGTCGTTTTGCTCTGCCCAAAGATGGGGCTGGTCCAGAATGGGGAAAACGTTCCAGTGTCTGAGCACTCTTCTATAGAGGGTGAACCTATATGATTAAAAAAAGTTCTAGGCTATCCTTCCCTTTGATAAATCACTTTCCTGTGTGAAGGAGTATCGTGGCACAGTGATTAAACTGCTGTGCCACAACCAAAACTCTGCTGTGCCACAACCTGGATCCAATCCCAGAGAGCCAGCTTAAGGCTCACTCAGCCTTCCATCCTTCCAAGGTCAATAAGTTGAGCACTCAGTTCGCTGGGGGAATGTGTAGCCTGCATAATTAAATTGTAAACCACGTAGAGAGTGCTAAAAGCACAATAGGGCAGTATATAAGCAGCATGCTTTGCTTTTTTTGAAGGGTTCTTTTAATTTTTGCACTGGACAATATCCATTCATGTGAGCCCCATCAGAACCATATGAAGCAGTACAACCCAGACACCAATTTGCCACTTTACTGAGAACTGAGTCCCCATTCCATGAACACCTACCACCACTGCAATCCCAAATCTCTATTTCCACTTACTTATAAGGATAATAATTCCAAGAAAACAGAGAACACCAGCAAAAATCAAACCACCGAGACGAAGTGACGCATAGTCTGGAGGAGCAAAAGAGAAGGTGTTCAGTCTGGTTGAGGCTACCTCCTTCTTTACTCCATGACCCTCCCATTAATCTAGCAAGCTCTGCCTCCCACCCACTCAACATCCACCTCTTTCCTTGGAAATGGAGGTTGTGTGTATGGATGGTGGGCATCCACTCTTTGTCTAAAGACTTCTGGGCTGGAACTGAGATTATGAGACATCCTAAGAGAGCCTTTAGTGGAAAGGTTCTCAGGAAAAGAAGTATTACTGTTATGACTGTGAGCTGTAAGAAACAGATACAGAATCAGACTAAGACAATAGAATTAGCCTTTAAATTATCCACTGGGCAACATCAGTCTTTCTCAAAGAGGGAGATGAATAATGTGTTATTCCTCCTCTTGTTAAGAAGCATCACCGCACATCTGCTTATGTAGTAAGATTTCCCATAAGACTCAGGATGAGTTGTATAGCTAAGGATGACAAGCACTTACCATAATAGAAGGGGCTGTTTTTATCTGGGGACAGAGAGAGTGGGAAAAAAAAGATTAGTGTTCTATCTTTAGTTATTTTTGGATGAAAATCTTCCCAGGGGCTAGGAACTGGCAGATCAAGATGAATGCTTCTTTGGGAATGAACCTACAGTCGTGCCCCGCTTAACGATTACCCCGCATAACGACAAATCCACTTCACTACGATGTTTTAATTGGGTTTTTTCGCTTTGTGACGATCTGTTCCCTGCTTTGGGAACTGATTCTTCGCATTACGATGATCAAAACAGCTGATCGTCGGGTTTTGAAAATGGCCACCGGCTGCTCAAAATGGCTCCCCACTGTTTATGAGGCATTTTTCGCAAGACAGGCACCTGAAAATAGCCGCTGTATGGAGGATCTTCACTGGATGATTAGGTATTTTGCCCATTGGAATGCATTAACCGGTTTTTAATGCGTTTCAATTGGGTTTTTTATTTTGTTTGATGACGTTTTCACTCTACAGCAATTTTGCTGGAACGAATTAACGTCGTCAAGCGAGGCACCACTGTACTTTCAAAGATACAGCATTGATTGGATGTCTCAGCATTAAAAGGGTCTTTGTTCTGAAAGGTACCTTTTCTTTCGTTCTTCCTGATCTTCCATGCCTTTTATCTCCCACTTTCTTAAACAAGTTTCCCAAAGATGCTTTTGAATCTGAGTCTCATGAGATCAGCACACTTGAATCCACTGCTTGCTGATCCTAGAAAAAAATCCTTTCCGGAAATATTTCCAGAGAGGATTTCTTTCTAGGATCAGCACATATAGAACAGAGGTGGCCTTCCAGATGTTTGGGGCTGAAAATCCCAGAACCTCTTATCCTTTGCCTGGCCAGTTGAAGCTTCTAGCAAGTAAACTCCAAAACATCCAGAAGACCGGAAGTTCTAGAAACTAGCCACGTTATTATCTATGGAGCTACTGAAAGTCTTTCTAAATAACCTAGTCTTAAACAGATGGGCAAGATCTGCTCCTGGAATACAAGGAAATACTTTGGCACATTTCTTTGCTTGTCCTTGAGATGTAAGAAACGACTCACCTTCAGGATCATTTGCCTCCAGAAGAGGGAATGCTACAGCAGAAGACAGAAAAGAGTTACTTCCAGGTGAAGCCATAAGCTTAGCTGCTCAATGGGAGCATAACATGAGCATGGCAGTAAGGGAGTCACCTTATTTTCATGGCACAAGTGGGTGGGCGGACAGACAGACACACACACGCATGCACACACATCCCCGACTGCTAGATCAAAGCTTTGAGAGAAACCAGGAATGGATTTTTGCTATCAAAAAGGAGGAGGAACATCTGAAAGCTGTTGATGAAATCAAGTTCCTTGGCTGAGCTCATGTTTAGAAGTACCCTTTACCCTTCTTTAATTCTCCCCTTGCCCCCACTAAACCACTATGCAAATGCATCGCTTAAAAAAAAAAACCCCACAATTTTGCTCTACGGTGCTCTTGCCAATTTCCTTGTGCAAGATGACTCTCAACTGTAGCCCCAAAACCTCTCTGATGTCCACCTTTTGTTTTTAGAGATGGATCCCCCATGGGAAGGAGGCTTATGATATCTCTTTACTGAACCGGGACATTATTCTATGCCAGGCCTGCTCCGATCAAGATGCATGGCCAGGAATTAAATCCCCTGCTGGGATTGTAAAACTACGACCACTTGATTCACTGTGTTACACAAAATGCAAGCCAAAGGCCGATCCACCGGAGCTCTCTAGGTAGCTGTGTCTCTGCTAACTAGAACTGGCAGTCAATCTTTGTCTTGCCAGGCCAACAGAATAGATGTTCGGCCAGGTAGTTGGCATAGGAGGGTGGAAAAACTAAAACATTTCCCCTTCTGAGTCACTCTATCTGTTGATCCCTTGGTAGGAAGCGAACGCTTTGCAAAATGTAAATATAAACGTGCACATTGCAACACTTGCAAAAATAAGGTACATTTGAGTGACACCAGAGTTTGGGAAGGGGATTTTGACAGGAAATGGGAAAATCATTTATTTACTTTTATTTAAAGCATTCGTACAATATTGTCCCAATCTGAACCAGGGCTCTGTGCAACTTGCAGAGGTATACACAACAAACACACAAAGACAGGCTCAGCAATCAATAAGAGCTTTCTCATTTCATGAGAGTAACAGGACTAGCACAGAGGGCAAACACTGGGAGAAGATGGGGGGGGGAGAGAAGTTGGCTATTAAACTCAAGTGGCCATGCTTTCCAAACCGTAAGGTGCAGAAAGACACACACCCCTCCCTGTTATTTTGCTTCAACAAGTTAACATTTTGGAAATACTTTCAGGAGAAGGATCAGACTCTTTCTTCAGAAGAAACTTCTTGAATCCATCATCCCAAACCTTTCTCAGGATCAGCCATGAGGACACCAAGATTACTGTACCTGCAAACAGAAGAAGCAGGATCTCTGTGGTGGCAGACCTCATCATGACACACAGTGATATTCTGAGCTCTGTAGGAAAGGGAGGAAAACAGAAAGTTGTTGAGTGAATGGAAGCAACACTCAAAAGAGTGGAACCAGAGATTTCCTACCTGCAAAACAGATGCTGTACCATTCAGCTATGGCCCCTTTGATGCATAAGGTTTCATAACTGACCAACATGGTGATGGCATCTACAATAAGAATGGGGTGGGTGGGCAAAGCCTGAAATACATCCACAGGAAAGCTTCATCCATTTTCTTTGGGGAAAGAGAAAGGCATCTGATAATTCTAAAGGGAATGAAGGTTCCATTCCGGGCATCCTATTCGAAAGGATAAGGTCACTCTACAGATAGATGTCCCTCCAGGAAAAGTTCAGTTTTTGATAAATGCCTGTTGTGATCGACAACAGTGGTTCTTAACCTTGGGTTACTCAGGTGTTTTTGGACTGCAACTCCCAGAAGCCTTCACCACCAACTGTGCTGGCTGGGGTTTCTGGGAATTGCAGTTCAAAAACACCAAGTAACCCAAGGTTAAGAACCACTGCAAGATGGAGGAATCCAAAGCAAGATAGATAGATAGATGGAAGTCAGGATCTTTATTGGAAACAAACAAACAAACCCAAGCACAAGAGTTAAGAGACATAGGCAAAATAAATCTGTACCTAGGTGGCCTTCACAACACCCCGGATGACACTCCAGCCAATCAGAATCAAAGTTAGGACAAAGGGAGAACATTCCAAGAGCGGAATAACACTGAACATTCCGTTGCAGCATTCTAGGCCTCCAGAGTGCCTCGAAGGGCCAAAGACCAGATGCCAGAGACAGAGATCTGTGATTAGAAGGCATTTTTCTCCCCATTACAAATCTGTAGTATTTATAGCTTCACATGTCAATCAGACAGGCTAAACCAGGAGAGGCTTACGGGCAGGGAATAAAAAGATAAGCCATATTTGAGTGAAGCTCAAGGAAGGAAATGTGACCGGCTGGTGTTGAAGGGGCAAACAGACTGACCAAGATAAACACACTGGACTCCCATTTGATCAAGATTTAGGCTAGTCCTCAGTAATGTTTACCTGTCACTCAGGGCAGGGGCCAGAGCAAAGCAGACACATTAAAAAAAAGAAGGTTTTCTTGAAAAATATTTAGGAGTGGCTGAGGATAAGGGAATTCCAGTCAACCGTGCAAAGCTGTGAAAAACACTAATTAACAAAATGAGTTCCAGGCTCTGCTCATCAGCAGATGCTTTTGGTAAAAGATCAATCCCAGTGTGTCTGTTGGAAAAGGCAAATGTTTTTGCCCTGCTGCCTCCATCAGGAGACCCAAGTAACTCACAGGGAGAGAAAATATCAGCCACAGAGTTGAAAGAACAAGAGGTCTTTGCAAAAGTGACTTTTTTGGGTTCAGGGCTGGGGAATTCTGGGACTTAGGAGACAAAAAAGGTATCTTTTTCAAGTTGATAATGATGTGCGCTGGTGTGGACAGCTGAACGCTGAGGAGAAACTCTAGAGAGGAGGTTAGGCAAGATGAAGGAAGGAGGGAAATAGTTAAAGGGAATGGATGGAGGAACAGGCAGCAGCTACGTACATGCTTAGCATGGAAATATTAAAGAGACTGGCTGGGGGCCTTTCCCTTATCAGCAATTATTGGGTCAAGCCCATGGGGGTCCATTTCAGCTCTGCAGTTCTAAGATGATCATGAGGAATCGAACATCCCACTTCTGGCTCTGCAGCCAGAAACCAAAACCACTGACAGTTCTTTCTACTATAAATGTCTCGGATTGAGTTATTCAAACTGTAATTGCCAGTTAATGAGAGAACAACTGACAGTTCTTTCTACTATAAATGTCTCAGATTGAGTTATTCAAACAGTATTTGCCAGTTAATGAGAAAATAGGAGTGGTCTACTTTGGGGAACTTGAAGCTAACTCTGTTCTTTGAATCCTTGCATTTCTGTTGTGTAACTAGAGAATTTTAACCAGAACTTCAAAGCTCTGCAACAAGACCAACACTGCAAAGAATGTTGGATGTTACTCCGCCACTTATATCCAAAAGTGCAAAATGCCAAGGCTATAATCTGATTGGCAAGCCACAGAACAATGACTTTCTTGGAAATATCAGGTTACTAGCTCATTATGACAGCATTACTGTGAAAGGGAAACATGTTCCGGCAAGCTGAAGGAATCCGTTTGGTCCTGAGCCAGCACTCATGATGAGGCTTTTGCCCAATCTTTAAAGCAAACTATTGAAGTAGGAGGTCTATAATTCTATTAGAAGCACTTTTAAAGAAGGACAGCATAAGGGTTTGTAATAATACCATCCTGCTAGTTGCTGCTATCAGATAATGATGATGGCTCCTGTTTTATGTAGCTTTAAAGAACTATGAGGCGAACAATGAAAAAGGCATTGACAGAGTGTGGAAATTGCTGGCTTAAATCCTCCAGGTATGCAGTGGAGAAAAAATCCAGTCAGGGACCTATACAGATGATTATTATAACTACAATTCTCCCTTGGATATACCACTCATTGTTAGTTTTTACCTCAACTGTCAATGTAGTCTCAATAGATTCAGTCAGAGAGTCTGGTGTTGAGAAAGAATAAAAATGTTTCTATTTTACTCACAAATCTTCATATATAATAATAATTCAGAATAATAAGCAAAATATATTTGCATGTTACATAGCTGGAGATATTAACTGGTTAAGTTCATTCTTTGATTAACTGACTGGTTACATGAACACTTCACTCAGACTCTAACTGCTGACTTCATAACTCATACTCACAGAACACTCAAATTGCTAAATGACACAGACCCCTGACAGACTGAAAAGGTGAGAAAAAAGAATCTGAGGTAGAGAGGGAACAGCTGGCTGCTATTATGTGAATGACATTCAACTCCTAGGTCCCTCCCAAACAAATTTCCTAAAGGCATAATATGAAAGTTGCTGAATTCCAGCTAGAGTTACCAAAGTGTAGTGGTTAAAGTGTAGAGCTAGAGTTAGGACAACACAGGTTCAAATCCCCGGTAGCAAATTTTCGGTTTCAAGCAATCAAATTTGTTCTATCTCACAGAAATTGCTGGATGCTCCTTATTTCAGTAGATTCTCAAGTCTGAAATATCTACTTTTTCAAGGGCCATGGCAAGGCTTGGGAGCTGGAAAAAAGCAATACCTTCCACACTACAAATTGCAGATTTTGATATCACGACCTAATTGTCCCTCTCCTCAGCCCACTGATGTTTTGCTTTCTATAACTTTCTGATTTTATAAAGTTTCAGAGGGCTTGGAAACTAGTTTGTGGCATTTTGGATGGTGTTTTACGAAGCTGTCACTTCACTGTGGCTTAAGGATCAAATCCGGTTTGTTCTTTTGCTTGCTCATTGTACAAAAAAAGAGGAAGTCCTTTTGTTCGTTTTTGTAACCTGAGAGGGCAGAAAGAGAGTGTATGTGTATCAGAAACACACACACATACAAGAACAAAAGCTACCTGTATTGGTTCATATGGGAGAAAACAAACCAAGAGCTATAATTAGGTGTTAAGACAAGCCGGTACGTTAAAAAAAAAGGTCTTTGCTTACCAACACAAGAGGCAAAAGGACTAGAGGGTTCAATAAGTCCAGCCCCAAATGCACCACCATGATCTGTATGAAAAAGTGCCCGCCTGCCCAGAGAAACAACCAAAGAGCCTGGCAGACAGACTGGCAGTGCCTAATCCAGAATGGCAGCTCCATAATTGCTACCACATAAGCTTGAAACCTATCCACAGCTCCTGGAGAACAGACTGCTAGCAGTCCCCTCAGCTATCATCATCATGGGTGAAGCAATTATTTGCTCTTAGACAACGGGGCCAACGTCATCCGGTATAGGTGCAAGGCAACAGCCCGGCTGAGTTTTCTGAGCCACCCATCAGAGATAACGCAGAAACTTAGCCAAAATTTCAAGGATCCTCCAGCAGACAAGGTGTGGTGGGGGGCTAGGCACACACTGTCTCCATTGCAATTTCCACAGCCAGCCTTTTAAACTAGTACCCATTTCATCTGCCGAATCCTGTTTTTTTCTCAATAAAGACATGGCCCCGCTCACAATATCCCAGGGGGTCTCTTGGAGAAGCTTAGTTTCAAACTCGGTCACATCACTAGTGTAGACATACGTATCCGATGTGGGAGAGCAACAGTATAGTCTGAAACAGTGGTGAGATTTAAGTAAAAGGGAGAGCAAAATCGTAGCCAAAGGGCAGAGGCAGTCCGAGGCATTTTGTTGCCTGTGGCAGCTGGCGACCCTTCCATTCTACTGAAACATCACTGAATTCAGCAAACGCCAACAGAGCATGGACAGAGTTCCTACTGCAGTCCTCTGAAGATGCCGGCCACCGAGACTGGCGAAACGTCAGGAAGAACAACCTTCAGAACACGGCCAAAGAGCCCGAAAAACCCACAACAACTGTCACTGAACTTTGCGGGCAAAAGGCAGCTCACATCACCCATGCAGTGTCTCTGTTCATGCTGTGCCACAGGATCCGTCTCTGGAGGCTGCTGTCTCACTCTTAAGTAGGGTTGGCCCTTCCTAGAGAGAGAGACTGATAAGGAGGTTTCTCTCTCCTCAGCCTTACTCTTATCTTTACAAATTGTAGGCTCATATCCCAACTTGGAAAGTTATGAACCTCCTCAGGAGTAAGAATATCACAGGCCCTCATGGCCCCAAGGCCTAACCAACAACAGACAATTCTGTCACTTCTGTGGCCACATTCCGAACAACAGGATAATGAGAAGGGGACATTTTCTGAGCTAAGAGATGTACAAATAAGGAACCCCAGCTCCACCTCAGCTTGACGGGCATTTTCAGCTCCAGGCAGCCATTTTGAATGATGACTAAGAAGTGGTATATGCATTTTCATAAAGCATGGAGATGAGGCGAGCTCAGTGGTTTGGTATCTGGCTGCAGTGCCAGAGATTGTGGGTTTGATTCCCCCGCGGTGTCTCCTGTGAGTAGAGCCAGCCTGGGTGGCCTTGGGCAAGCTGCACAGTCCCAGGGCAAGGGAACTGTAAACCACTTTTGACTACTCACTATCTCGAAAACCTCGTCCCAGGGCACCTCCAGAAGAAGAGAACGGCAAACCACTTTTAACTACTCACTATCTCGAAAACCTCAGGAAGGGTTGGCATAAGTCGGAATCAACTTGATGGCACACAATTAAATTAAATATGGAGATTGCCACTCCTCCTGTTTTATTTGTCTTGATCTTCCTGTGGCGCTCGGAAGTCTTTCTCTGAATTATATAATGTTCACAATAGCCTCAGAACCTAAGTGTTCTCATTCATACAAAACAAAACTGCACATGAGTGGTATTCATATCTGTGCTAAACGTCAAATAGCAAGAGAGACAGTGTGGTCTAATGGTTAGTATCTGACTTCAGAGATCCAGGTTATAGGCCCCTCGCGGCACCACGAAACCCACTCGTATTCTCTGCCTGACCTCCCTTCCATAAGGAGCTGCTGTGAGGATAAAGAGGAGAGGAAGACATCCAGTATTTGAATACCCTTGAGCTCAGTAAAGGGAAAGTGGGATACAAGTGCAGCTGAAACACAACGCAGAATAAGTAACCGTTTTGATCACAACAAAGAATATTGTATTACCTTGGGAAAAAAAATAGAACTTTTAAATAGGCAATACCAACTTTGCAGATAAACTAGATTTATTTGGTTTCGCCTGCTTGCTTTGATGTAAGTAGCCCGGGCTCCCTGAAAGTTATGCCAGACAACACTTTGAGGTCTTTTTGGTAGCAAAAGATTCATTGATGTTTTTGCTGCACATAAGACTGACTTAGTTATGCCTTTGCTGACCAAGTATGTCCCACAGCTAGAGACGTTCCTGTCCCTTTGCGGGTGGTATAGCTTCGTGAATCAGAACATCTGGCTGTGTTGCCAGGGGCCCCTGAGTTTGAATCCCACCTCCCCCATGCATAAATGGTGGGATATGCCCTGCTCCCTTTATAACCTTGGGCAAGCTGAATAATGCCATCAGAAGGAAGGCCAGGTTGGATCACTTATGGGTACCTACTTTATATACTCTGCACAGTTTGGCCATAACTTGGAAAGTTATTAAAATGGTGGCATGCAACTACTATTTAATAAAGGCTGCACAAAAGAGGCCCAACGTGGCCCTGCCGGACTGCCAATTCTGCAGCCTCTGAAAAGAAGCCAGAGTTGAGCCAGTCTTCAATCCAACCACACCCAGAGCTGTGTTTACACGTGTAGCTCACCCCCCACCCCCAGCACTTTTTCTGAAATATGGCCGATTTGGTGAATTTGCACGCTGCTTCTCTGCTTGCAATCTACTTTTACTGCAAGGAAGAAGGGGGTCTCAGATCCCCCCCCTTTTTTTTCTTCTTTTGACGTTCAGGCCGCCCCCCCCCGTCCTCCAAAGATGCATCATAGAAACACCGATTTTCGTCTTACGGGACCAACATCTGGGGCTTTCCAAACGTCCTTGTTTTGCAGAGAAAAATCCTCAAGGGATTCCCGAGCAACCCGTATTAATGGGTTGTTGTGCCCGAGCTTGGCAGTTCTGCAAAAGAAACAACCTCCCTGTTTCCCCGCCACTCTGAGGCTTTATATATTTCTTTAAAAAAAGAAGAAGAAATGCGCACGATCCAGAGCCTCGCAGGTCCTGCCAAAGCAGAAAAGAGACCCTTCCAAGCCAGCGGCTCTCCCTCTCCAAGGCGCTCAGCCTTCAAAAAGTCTTGGTTCCCCTCCCGGCCCCCAAGAAACCCTTCTACAGTACTTACCCCGTCCCAAAAAAAGCGCACAAGGCAGGCAGAAGCGACGAGGTGGGCAGAAAATAATAATAAAACAAAAAGGAACCCGGAAAAGGGGGAAAAGATGCCCCTCCTTTGGCCACAGAGAACCGTGCGCGCCTCCGAGACCACACCCAAAGCAGCCCGGGCAGGTAAGGAGGAACAGGTTTTGCAGCCGCAGGGAAAGGCAGGGCTGGGTCGGCCTTCCTGCATTTCCTTTGCAACAGGTTCCGACGTTCTCCCTCTGCCCTCTCGGCGTGAGAAGCCTGGCATTGCTCACTCCAATAAAGCGAGGCACTACTCCCCACTCTCCTCCAGTTCAAAACAGGGCTGCGTCTCCTGCCCTTAAGTAACAATTTTATTTATTTTATTTATTTATTTATTCCATTTATACCTGTTCATTGCGACCACTCTAGGCGGCTTACAACACAAAATACAAAACACCAAGTACAAACGCCATATAAGAAAGGAATTTTTACAGAATTCAAAAATTCTACAAGATGGAAAGCAAACGAAATAAATCATAATAGAGAACGCAAGGGAGTCAGCTTTGGTGTCTTTGTCGTTCTGAAAGAGCATCCAGGCGGTTGAGCACCTCACCTCTTGAATTTCTGCTGCTCCCCACTCTCCCTGGATTCAAGGCAAGGCCCCTGCCTCTTGCACTTTTAAGTTAAAAATACATCTTAACAGCCTGGGTCTCTCGGCCATTATGAAACAGCATGGCAGCTGGTGAATTTTTACCTGTTGGATTTTTGTTAGCTTTGACTCTTGCCTGCAAGGAACAATACTTCCTCATAGCCTTGGTGTGAAAGTGTATCTTGATGGTGACACCTGTTGAATTTCTGGCTGCAGTATAGTTTAGGCACACCAAAGGAGACCTGGCTGGCTCATGCCTCTGTGCTGTGCTCGATAAAAAACGTAGCCTCTTCATTTTTCTATCTCCATCTCCCAAAGCGTGGAAAAATTATGTTTGGGACTACAACGCCACCACCTTTGTCCAGGCTGGTTGGGGATTCTGGAACCTCTTACCTAAAAAAGTAAATTTGCAAGCTCTCCTGCCTGTATATACAGTACTCCTATATGCCTCAAACTGTCATGTTGACTTATGAGTAGGACAGTCCTTTTTTTGTGTGTGGGGGGGGTTGTTCATAATCAACTGGAGGATGGTAAGAACTTCTTGAATGGGGAGTGTGTGACCATCAAAGAAGTACTAAGGCAAATGAATAAAAGGTAAGAAATCATAAAAGCTAGGAGTGAGTGATGCTGGCAGAGAAAAAAGTGTGACTTTCTTATTTGTGGTGAATCAGTCACTGGAAGAGCCAGGGTTCACCAGGTCAACACAAAGATGTTTATATAAATGTTGCATACATCATATTTGTTTCAACATTGAAAATCAACATTGTCAGTCTTGCATTCTCTCTCTCTCTCTCTCTCTCTCTCTCTCTCTCTCACACACACACACACACACACACACACACACACACACACACACACACACACACACACACACATATTTGCAGTTATTAAGAAACTTCCCTCCCATGGTGACATCACAAATGCTTGCCTGGTGACATCATAAAACCAAACACACACACCCTCAGGTTTTGACAATGAAATCAGATGCTCCTTCATCAGCAATACTGAAGAAAGGTGCACTGATAATTCCATCCGCTTCTCTAGATTTAATGGATTTTGCCCCTTGTTTTTTGCCCCTGCCCCAAATTTAACCCCATGTTTTCAACCTATGCACCTTCATTTACTCAGAAGTACTTTCAGCCAAGTATTGTGGTGCTTACTTCCAAGGACGGGTGTGCAGGAGAGCAACGGATTGTAACCTTGTGTATTATATAAGGGGATCATGAGAGCACGTCTTCCACTTCTTGGCCTGTTTTGATTTTTCACCCTCTCTGTTGAATGTCTCCAAGTGGGACTGAAAAAAGATTTGCAGTAGGTGGGCAGGAGTTTATGGCTGTCTTGTGCTTAACCACCACAATGTGCAACATGCTGTTTCTCCGCTTCTAAATCAGGAATAAAGAGGGCTCTCGAGTGGGAGGAGAGAGATGTTTGTAAGCTTTGTTCTGATAATTGCAAATATAGCTGATGGGGGGGAGGGGGAAGAGAGATTTATTTGCAATCTGGTGCTGGAGGAGAGCTTTGTGGATTGCCTGAACTGCCAGAAGGACAAACCAGTGGGTCCTAGATCAAATCAAGCCTGAACTATCTCTTGAGGCAAAAATGTTGAAACCGAGGCTGTCCTACTTTGGGGACATCTTGAGATGGCAGAATTCTCTGGAAAAGACAATCATGCTGGGAAAGGTTGGAAGTCAGCAAGAAAAGAGGAAGACCAAATATGAGATGGACCGACTCCCTAAAGGAACCCACAGGCTTGAGTTTGCAAGAATTGAGCAGGACAGGACAGGATCTTTAGAAGATTGCTCATAGGATTTCCATAAATTGGAGGCAACTTGACAGTACATAACAATAACAGCGTACAGTGGTGCCCCGCATAGCGACGAATCCGGATAGCGACGATTTTTGCGGGACAAAGAAGCCCATAGGAATGCATTAAAACACGTTTAATGCGTTCCTATGGGGAAAAAACTCACCGTTATGCGGAAATCCTCCATGCGGCCGCCATTTTCGCTGCCCGGTAAGCGAGGAAAGGGCGCGAAAACACAGCGGGCAGCCATTTTATTTACCCGGTGGCCATTTTGGAACTGCCAATCAGCTGTTTTAAAAACATCGCTATGCAAAAATCGGTAAGCGAAACGCTTACCGATCATCGCAAAGCGATGTTTTCCCATTTAAAACATCGCAATGCGGTCGCTTTTGCAATCGCAAAAAACACATCGCTATGCGGATTTGTCGTTAAACGAATCGCTTGTTATGCGGGGCACCACTGTATATTCTTAGGTTAAAAATCTGTTTGGAAACACTCTAATCCTTAAACGTCAATGTACATCTTGTGCAGAACTTGAAAAGGGACTTTCAGGACTAGAATACCAAACTTTGGCAAGAGGATTCTGGGAGTTGTAGCCCACATTAATGAGGTGTTCTGTGTGAACCAAACTGGTGTATGTATGATTGAGACTAAGCCACGTTACTGTATCTTATTCACTTGATCATTTTATTTTCCCTGTGTGTTATTTAAATAAACCTTATTCCTTTATTTGTTAAAAATCCATTCCTGGTCTGTGTGACTCCTTACAGGGAATGGTTGGTGGCAGCTTAGTGAAACTGTGGCATATCCCAGTAGGTCTGGGGTTGTCACATTGTAGTCCACATCAATGATTTTTCCCCCAAGCTCTGATCTTAGGCTTCACAGTCTTTTGTTTTATGGGCATGGTGAGGAATCTGTTGACTCCAGTGTCCTTATCAGACTTTCTTGGCTGCTGCAAAAATTACAACATTTCCCATGTAAAATGGGCCATGATACAGTCTATTAAGGTTTCACGGTCTTTTGTTTTATGGGCATGGTAAGCGATCCATTCATTCCAGTATCCTTATCAGACATTCTTGAGTGCTGCAAATCACAAAATACCCTGTGTAAAACATGGGGCCTGGTACAGCCAGTCACTTTGTGATTACTGGAGAGGTTGTTACAGGTGCTTTTGGAGTTCAGACCAGACCAGACCAGACCGGAGAGGACTTGAAATCAAATGCCACAAAGGCCAGCGCACGGCAGGCTACGGCTTTCTTTATGTCTCTCATGGGGTGGAGAAGGAGCTCAGGTCAGGGTGAGGCTCTTTGTTCCATGCAGAAAGAGCGGCATCCAAATGGAAGGAAGAAAATTCAGAAAGGAAGGACAAGAGAGAAAGAAAGAAAGAAAAAGAATGAATGAATCAGTTTTGGAAGGAAGGGAGGGAGGGAGAGAGGGAGCGAGAGAGAGAGAGAGAAAGAAAGAAAGCGTCCCTCTCAGGATTCTATATTTGGTGACAGAACTTGGAATTTTTGAGTCGCATATTAATGATAATATTCATGTGCTGATAAGTCAATTCTGACTTACGGCAACCCTTTTCCAGGGTTTTCCAGGTAGAGAGTACTCAGAAGTGCTTGACCAGTCCCTACTCCTGCGGGGTGTCTTGGGCACATGTAGCTTGCTTAAGGCCACACAGGCTGACTCTACTTTGCAGGAGGCACAGTGAAGATTTAAATTCCCAACCTCTGGCTCTGCAGCCAAATATCTAAACCACTGAGCTATCCCGCCAGCTCTTTTGATCCAGTACTGTACTGTACTTTCCAAAATCTGCTGTTGGCTGTTCTGTTGTTTGGTTGTTAAGTCGTGTCCAACTCTTTGTGACCTCATGGACCAGAGCACGCCAGGCCCTCCTGTCTTCCACTGCCTCCCGAAGTTGTGTCAAATTAATGTTGGTCGCTTCAATGACACTGTCCAACCACCTCATCCTCGGTCGTCCCCTTCTCCTCCTGCCATCACTCTTTCCCAACATCAGGGTCTTTTCCAGGGAGTCTTCTCTTCTCATGAGATGGCCAAAGCATTGGAGCCTCAGCTTCAGGATCTCTAATAGGCTGTACTAGTTGGGAGCTATAATCAAAAACAAACAAAAAAACCAACCCCCCCCCCAAAAAAACCTTTTCACAAAGGGTGTTGGAGACAATAATATTTTAATGGCAGCGGCAGGGAATTGAACCTCACTGCATCTGTCAGAAGGTTTCTTTTAAATACATTTGCAATTAGTGCTGAAACTCTTGCACACCAGAGTGGTGTTAAGTGCCATATAGTTTTTTTCTGACTTATGATGATCTGGGGAATAAGTGATCTCTGAAACATCTTATTTTTAATAGTCCTGATCAGGTCTTGCAAAGTCAAGGCTGTGGGTTCCTTTATAGAGACCATCCATCTCATATTCTGCCTTCCTCTTTTCCTGCTGCCTTCAACGTTTTTTTCTTACCAAGCAGCCTTATTTTTTCATGATGCACTCAAAGAAGAATAGCCTCAGATTAGTCATTTCTGCTTAAATGACCAAAAGCCCAGAACTAGCAACTGGCTCAGGTGCTATTTCCCGAGAGGAGGCACAGCTGTGGCAGTCCTATAAAGTGTACCTGGGGCTTACCCCCATCCTTTGAGTACACAACTGTGTGCCCTACTGACTCCTACAAACTAGGTTGCAGCCTGCAGGCGCAGTGGAGCGCGCTCTCCCTTTGCCAGAGTGAAATTCGGCTTTTCCTGCCATCCCAGTTAGCTTCTGTACAT